CCTAGCTGGGGGAACCTGGAAGGAAAGCGGCAGCGAGTGGTAAGCAAGACGCAGCCTCTGTCACCGGAGCAGGCGCCATCGCGTCAGGCCAGCAGGTACCGCGATGGGTCAGCCACCAAATCCGACACAGTAGCACAGCTGGATGGGGTGACGTGCTGAGAACTCTGGAGTGAGTGTTGTCAGCGGAGGCCGGGGCCGAATGCTGTCCAGGGTATGAATCACTTTAGGACACAAAATGATGTTGATGATCGTCCCGAGGAGTTGTTATTCTCCAAGACAGTAAATCTCAGGCGTTAACTTGAAAAAGGTGGTCCTAACCTGTGGGCTGCACACTCCCTGGGCTACGGAACCACTAGGAGGGGTCCTCCCTCTCCACACTTCCAAGTCACCTGCTGTGACTCGGCCTCTTCCCGCCTTGGGGCGCCAGCCTGCATTCCGGCAAACAGTGCCTTCCTCAAAGGGCTGTTGAGAAGATTCCAGAGAATACACACACAGGGCTCTGCGCACTCCCGCACACAGGAAAACACTAGAAATCATGCCCACTGCACGCACCCTGTTCAGATGGAAAGCTACCTTAGACACGTGTGCATCTGCGGTTATAAATGAAAAGAGAGGCTCCTGTGATTAATAAAGTTCAAATGCATTTAAAAGCCTGACTGAAGTCATCGTTATTTGTTTTGATCAAGATGGACCATCAGTGTGAGTTTGGTGGTGAAAGACCTGGTTCACAATTTCCTTATGTTAAAAAAAGATCCCCACGCTTAAAAAACAAAACAAAACGTTTTCATCCACAGCTTTAATGCTCAGGATCATTAATGGCATTGCAGAAATGGAAAGATAAAAGTCAGCCAGGCTCTGTGTCTTGCACCTATAAATCCCAGAACTTTGAGAGGCCAAGACCAGAGGATTGCTTGAGCTCAGGCAGCCTGGGAAACATGGCGGGATCCTTGTCTCTACAAAAAATGAAAAATTAGCTGGTTGTGGTGCTGAATGCCTGTAATCCCAGTGACTTGGGAGGTGGGAAGGTCGCTTGAATACAGGCGGCGGAGGCTGCAATGAGCTATGACCATGCCACTGCCCTCCAGCCTGGGTGACAGAACGAGACCCGGTCTCTTAAAAAAAAAATTAGTAAAACAAAAGTCACAACATGCACATCAAGACATTGAGAAAGAGGACAGGGGTCTTTTAACACCCAGATGGCAATTTAACATCCTTATTCACCTGCCTGGGGCAGCTGCTTTGGATGTAATAACTAGACCAGTGTTCAGGCCTCCAAGGGTACAACAGGACATCGGCCCCAAGAATCTGGGGATGTTTGCCCACCTTGTTCACTCCAGAACCTTCAGCACTTAGAACAGGGCCTAGCGCAAAGTAATCCACAGTAAACATTTGTGGAATGAATGAATGATACGTATGACTCAGAAATTAAAGCGGAGGTTTCCAGTCTTTTTAGAGATCGTCAACTCAATGAGTTTGACTAGAGTTATTTCTAAGAGAAATGTAACAGCACAGAGAGCACATCTGCCACCAGCCACGCCCACGCCATGGACTCAGGGAGCAGGAATGACATCTATCCCACTCACACAGGCAGTGGCTAGACACCAATCATACAGCATCCTATGAGAATAAACTTCTGCAGGCACTAATCCACTACAAATTTCTTCTCGTCGCACTTCACTTCTTTATTTCCTCCTTTGTGAAGGTGTTTTTTAAAAGCATAAAAATGAACGCTTATGATGCCAAACAACGTGAAGAACCCCCTCCTGGAATTCACAGCTTTATGTTCTTAGCGCACCTCCAAGCTACCTGGGGCCAGCACGGTCAACGACACACATGTCCACACCAGGGCCTGGCGGGTCCAAGCACCTCCTGTCTACCTGGCGCACCCCGAGGCGGGTGTTTGCACTCATGCTGAGCACTCTGTGGGCTGAGGGAGCCAGGGCAAAGCAGGCATCCCTGGCAGCTGACACGAACCCCAGACGACCACATGCTCCTCTGAGGGAGGAGATACCCGTTTTCACACTTGAACCTGATCCTGAGTCCAGAGCCGCATGGGACCAGAGCAGAGGGTGGCTGTTGCTTTCTACAACCAGCAGGGGCCTCCAGCACCTATGGAAGGAGTCAAGGGCAAGCCTGGAGCCCTGCTGCCAGCGGCGGCTCAAATTAGGAGATAGGCAGGAACCTGCAGTGACCCACGGCACACTTCCTGCGTAAATGTATTCCCCGTGGGTAAAGGAACGTATGATAGGAAGAAAACAAAAGAATGTGTGCTGTCTGTGATGTCTCTTCCCCAGGAGTCAGTTGAGATGGTGAGGCTCTATCCTTAATGCAATGTCTCCATCTAGTGTCACACACTCTACAGGGACAACAGGCCTTATTTTCCAAATCAGATTTGATTTTGTTTTAAATCTAGTTCTTAATTTTCACAATTACGAAGGTGAAAATTATAAAGATGGATCCAAAAACATGAATTACTCTACGTTCTCACCATTGTTAAATCAAACTTTTACAACTAAGCTTAGAGGCAGAAACCACCAACATTAATTCAAATACTACATTCAATTATATATTAAGATATTGATTTCAGCACTGGGCGTGGTAGCTCATGTCTGTAATCCCAGCACTTTGGGAGGCTGAGGCAGGTGGATCACCTGAGGTCAGGAGTTCGAGACCAGCCTGGCCAACACACAGAAACCCTGTCTCTACTAAAAATACAAAAAATTAGCCAGGCACGGTGGTGCATGCCTGTAATCCCAGCTACTTGGGAGGCTGAGGCATGAGAATCACTTGAACCCAGGAGGTGGAGGTTGCAGTGAGCCCAAATCGCACCACTGCACTACAGCGTGGGCAACAGAGCAAGACTCTGTTAAATTATATATGTTTATATATTATGTTTCAGGCTGGGCACGGTGGCTTATACCTGTAATCTGTAATCCCAGCACTTTGGGAGATAGATCACCTGAGGTCAAGAGTTCAAGACCAGCCAAGCCAACATGGTGAAACCCCATCTCTACTAAAAATACAAGAATTAGCTGAGCATGGTGGTGCATGCCTGTAATCTCAGCTACTCAGGAGGCTGAGGCAGGAGAATCACTTGAACCTGGGAGGTTGCAGTGAGCTGAGATTGTACCACTGCACTCCAGCCTGGGTGACAGACTGAGTGAGACTCTATCTCAAAAATACATAGCTAGATACAAATATAGATAGATAGATAGACAGACAGGTTTCAAAGGGTTCCAGATGAACAAAGTGACATAAAAATGTCTCCAACAACAAAACACATTTGCCTTAGTCTATCCTGATAGTACCCCCCTCCAGACACTCCCCTGGTGCCATCTGCACCTGTCCTTGCTACTGGAGGGTACCCAGGCTGCCAGCATCCAGGCCTTGGCTAAGACCGGGGCTGACGGGAAGCACCTCCACTACCTTTGGGCAGTTACACAACAAAACTCCTGCTCACTCTGCAGCCACGCCTCACCCGACTCCCTGAGGGCACGGAGCTTCCCACTGGGGCCCTCCGCTGGTGAACTGCGCTACACTGGATGTGATGTGGCGGAGGAAGGGAATGAACCACGAGGCCTGTGATGCCACAGATAAATACATCTAGTAATATCATTTAGAATGAAAAATTCAGAAAATTACAACACAGTTGTCTTTTCATCAAGTCAAAACCAACTAAAATTCCACAATGTACTCTTGGGGGACACAGAAACCTGTGTTTAGGAGGCCAGGGAACAGGAAGCAGGAGCTTCGGAAATGTCGTGGCTTCAGGCCACCGGGCAGGGGGATGGGATGTGGGAGAGGACACAGGTGGTTGGAAGTGACTGCTGGTGTTTTCGTGACCACCCTGGGCAGGTTTGCGGGTATTTACCATCACCCGTTTCAAGTCATTCATTCCAATTAAAATGGAATGAAAGAAGTCTATGCATGAACCAGAGCTGAGTGTGGGCTGTGAAGCAAGGACCACGGCACACCCAGTTATGCTCGCAGGGCCACAGATTGAAGAGAAGGAGTAAAAGAAAAGTGTTCGTCTATGTAGTCAAGGGAGTCGGTGCTCCTTCCTCTGCCTCCTTTCTTCATAAGCTTAGCATGGCTGATGCCAGGTTACTCTTCCTTCACTCAACCACGTCTCACAGCAAGACTATAGCTGAGAACTCTGATGCTGGGTTTGCAAAGGAAGTCCTGCCGACAGCGTCCCAGCTCCAACCTCTCCCTTCTCACCCTGACCTCCCAGGCTCACCTCGTCACCTGGAGGATCGTGTCTTATTCCTAAATCTCTTGGCTTATACTAGAACATCAGAAAAGTTGCGCTGTATCTATTAGTTATTAATAATAGATTTCTAAGGCCGGGTGTGGGTGGCTCACGCCTGTAATCCCAGCACTTTGGGAGGCCGAGGCGGGTGGATCACCTGAGGTTGGGAGTTCGAGACCAGCCTGACCAACAGCAAGAAACCGTCTCCACTAAAAATACAAAATTAGCTGGGCGTGGTGATGTGTGTCTGTAATCCCAGCTACTTGGGAGACTGAGGCAGGAGAATTCCTTGAACCCGGGATGTGGAGGTTGCAGTGAGCAGAGACCGCACCACTGCACTCCAGCCTGGTCAACAAGAGCGAAACTTTGTCTCAAAAAAATAAATAAATACAATAAAAGTAATAGATTTCAATTAAAGTAGAAAATAAGTGTATGCCTCTTTCCACAGATGAGCAAAACAGGTAACAGTTTACAAAATGATTTGTAGTTTTAAAAAGACATTGATGCATTTTCTTCTAAAACCTAAATATATTTTAATAGTATCCAAATCTTTCATCTACTATTAACTTTTAAATTGAGGTATTCATTAGTAACGTCTGTAAACTAAAATAACTATAAGCCTGAAAATATTAATATAATAGGCCTCTGGGGGGAAAAATGCTTTTCTAAGACAAAGATACTAACGTGTTCCCTTTAGCTACTAAAACTAAATTTCAGAATTACTAATAAGCTGTATACAGGTACGTACCCCACCAAGCATGCTACATCCAAGTGCCAAGAATTTTATCCACTTGATTTTGTTATCACAAGGATCCAGTTGTAACAGCGCTTTGAACTTTTCCTTCGGCAGGCACAAATTCTTCCACTTCTGCTCCAGATCGGTTAGTCCCACGTATTTCTTGTGGTGGCACTGTTTAGAAAACACAGTATGACACAATGTAGGTACGTTTTAAAACCTGGGAAGCAATTGAACGCTCGTGAATACTTCAGCATACACCAAGTAACCCATCCCACGCCGTTGAAAGATGAACTCCAAACTCATGGCAGTGGGTTGTGTCGGCCCTGGGGAGTGGGGCGGAGAAGGTGGCGAGCGGCAACCTTTTATTTCTATTTTTTTTTTTTTTTTTGGAGACGGAGTTTCGCTCTTGTTACCCAGGCTGGAGTGCAATGGCGCGATCTCGGCTCACCGCAACCTCCGCCTTCTGGGTTCAGGCAATTCTCCTGCCTCAGCCTCCTGAGTAGCTGGGATTACAGGCACGCACCACCATGCCCAGCTAATTTTTTGTATTTTTAGTAGAGACGGGGTTTCACCATGTTGACCAGGATGGTCTCGATCTCTTGACCTCGTGATCCACCCGCCTCGGCCTCCCAAAGTGCTGGGATTACAGGCTTGAGCCACCGTGCCCGGCCCTTTTATTTCTTAAATGAAAAAAGGACGGTGAAGCGGATACGGCATCACGTCGTGACTTAATGAAATAGGCATACAGATACTGGGTATATGGTACTGTACCGTCTGAAATGCTTCACAATAAAAAATAAACCTTAGTAAGTAAAAACACTTTAAAAATACAGCCCCTAAACACATTAACAGTTAGATAGGATAAATCTTAAAACTGAAAATAAATGTATTCCTTTTTTTTTTTTTTTTTTTTTTTTTTGAGACAGTCTCTTTCTGTTGTCTGGGCTGGAGTGCAATAGTGTGATCTAGGCTCACTGCAATATCCACCTCCCAAGATTAAGAAATTCTCCCCCCTCAGCCTCCTGAGTAGCTGGGATTACAGTGGCTCAGCATCACACACTGCTAAGTTTTGTATTTTTATTGAAGACCGTGCACAGCCTTCCTTCTATTTTAAACAATCTATCAAGACTGATAACTTCTGCACTCTGCTAGCGGTATCTTGGGTGAAAAGGCAAGATACCGCTAGCAGAGTGCAGAAGTTATCAGTCTTGCACTGATAACTTCAGCGTGTCTTTTCCCAAGCTACACCATTCAAAAGTTATTTGTTTTCCTTAAGGTAGCCATGGAAAAATCCTAGTTTCAAAATTCAGCGTATCCTATGTAGAAGCACAGCACTTCACAACATAGAATGGGGATAAGTCAGTTTGAAAATCAAGGTTATGCCACTGGTGTTGCTTTTAGCAAAAGAACCAAGTCATGAGGAATGCCAAGCTTTGCTCCGTTACCCATGTCTCTAAAAACAGGATGAGGTGTGGGGCCAAGTGCAAGGCAGGAAGGGGGCCCAGGCTCTCCACAGAACTGGACACCAGAGGCCGATGCCCACAGCGGGCGCCAAAGGGCAGCCCTGCCTTTCAGATGGAGAAGGCAGAGGCTCACGCAGGCCCATACATGGCTTTCACAAATACACACCTGGAGAACAGACTGGAAACCCTCCAGGTTCTGGAAATTTGTATTTTTTGCCTAGCAGAATCTAGTGTCATCTAAACTTTGTATTTAAAAGAAATTATATGTCACTTGTCTAAAATCCACCCCTGGATAGTTACTTTGGGTTAAGCTAGAAAAAGACCTCGTGAACACAATGCATTTCCTCCTTGAATAAACCTTGATGATGCGTGGCAGAGAAGGCAGGGCTTCAGGGACCTCTGGAGGTTTTGAGATGCACCGCTGGGGTGGGTCACGCTCCGTGATCATGCACAGTGAACGGTAAGGAAAGCACAGGCTAGCTGCCTGAGGCCACAGACCCCCTCGTACCTGCTTGTGCAAAACTTTAAGGAGTCCTTGAGTCAGGCCCGTGTCTGTTTTCTGGGTTGCCGTGGGCATTTCCATCCTTTCCTTTACAGGAAGTGGGTCTCCTCTCGACAAGGCTGAAAAATATCTAATAAATAAAAGAGATCTCTGAAAGCTCATCAATACACAAACAGCAGCTATGCAATGCATTTCTTAACCCCTGAAAACAACGGTGATGAGGAAGGACCAGCATCCCGGGCTCGAGTCCTGGATCCTCCACTTAGCTCTTTGACTTATTAACCTTCCCTGCATGCCTTAGTTTCTCTGTTGGCCAAACGGATAACGAGAGTGCCTGTTGGCGGGTCCGGGAGCACTGTGTGTGTGAGCAGGGCTTGGCACAGTGGCTGCCACTCGCTCCTTCAAAGTGTGTTATTCTTCCCCAGCCCCCAACCCCCTGCCGCACTTCATAATCAGCTGGAACTCCATGTAGTGTTTTTTTTTTCTCCTAAAGCTTTTGAGACAGGGTCTCACTCCGTCACCTAGGCTAGAGTGCAGTGGCATAATCACGGCTCACTGCAAGCCTCGACCTCCCAGCCTCAAGGGATCCTCCCACCCAAGCCTCCTGAGTGGCTGGGACTACAGGCATGCACCACCACACCTGGCTAATGTTTTTCATTATTTCTTGTAGAGCTGGGGTCTTACTCCGTTGCCCATGCTGGTCTGGAAAGCCCAGCCTCAAGGGATCCTTGCGGCTTGGCCTCCCACAGTGCTAGGATTATAGGTGTGAGCCACTGTGCCCAGCCGTCATCCCACAACAGGTGGGTTTGGTCTTGCTGCTTTTTGAGGTGCTTGACTTTAAGCGTCTCTGCATATTTAACTCTGAGGCAGCCCGGGAACACACAGGCCACCTATTTCCACACTGGGAATGACAGGTGCTGGCCTGTCCCACCATTCCACTGTTCCTGCCTGGCATTTGTCCCCTTAATTGTTCCTTTCTGGGACACTGATATTGTTGCTGATGTTGGGGACAGAGTGGGGAACTATTGGGGCAGTAAGTCAAGAGGGAACCCACATCCAGCCTCCGGCTCGTGCTGGCATGGGTGCCAGGCAAGACCTTCTGAGAAACCCATGCCCCTTGGTATCTTTGCCAGAGGTGGCGATACTGAAGCCATCTCCTTTGGGGCCCTAATGACTTCAGCCTGACGAAAAGAGACAGCATGTCCAGGAAATGAACATGAAAGCATATGCCAGGGCCACAGGGCAGAGTTTAAAGCCACGAGTAGTCAGAAATTTCTCGTACAGATAAATATGGGTAAGTCGATATTTGATAGACTAAACTTCCTATCTCATCCTTTCTCTTTTTTTTTTTTTTTTACAAAGATGGAGTTTCACCATGTTGGCCAGGCTGGTCTTGAACTCCTGACCTCAGGTGATCCACCCACCGCACCCGGCTCGTCCTTTCTATTTACATCCTTCCAATTTGACTTTCTTTTCTTCTTGTAACAACTTCAGCTCCATTTTGTGGATTTGTTAAGGATTTGAAGGAAAGTTAAAATGATGGTGGCAGTGAGTGAGACAAACGTGGCCCTAAAGACCTAAAGGGTGCAGGCGAAGAGCGGGCACCTAGCCACATTCCTACTAATCAAGGTTTTCATCTGTTTCATGGGGGTAATTCCTCATAACTCAGGTAAGGAACCCAGGCTGGATGCAGCCTCTGGAGGCAGGGCTGTCAGGGGGGTACAATGCTCTCCCTCTTCCTCCCCTGCCAAGGCATTTGGCAATTTCTGGAGACTTTTTTTTTTTTTTTTTTTTTTTTTTTTTTGAGACACAGTCTTGCTCTGTGGCCCAGGCTGGAGTGCAGTGGCACCATCTCGGCTCATTGCAACCTCCACCTCCTGGGTTCAAGAGATTCTCCAGCCTCAGCCTTCTGAGTAGCTGGGATTACACATGTGCACCACCAAGCCCAGCTAATTTTTTGTATTTTAGTAGAGACAGGGTTTCACCATGTTGCCCCCAGGGTCATCTCAAACTCCTGAGCTCAGACAATCCACCCACCTCGGCCTCCCAAAGTGCTGGGATTACAGGCGTGAGCCACTGTGCCCGGCCTGGAAACATTTTTGTTTGTCACAACAGAGGGTGGATGGTACTCCAGGCATCCAGGGGGTGCAGGCCAGGATGCCCCTTCCTCCTGTGCCCACCCCAACGGTCAGTAGAGCCGAGGCTGGGAAAGTCTGCTTTTGAGGTGGGACCGACTAATATTACCCTCTGCCAGTTCCCGGAGGTGCACGCGAGCCAAAGCAGCCTCTATTACGTGACCGATTCTTGCGTTCATTGTCCTGTGTGAGGCACAACTGCGCAATGGTATCATAGGAACAGCCGACTCCCCTCACGGTGGAGTCCACAGGCTCCGGGGGAGGCTGGCTCATCTTTGATATCTGGCCACCTGAAAAGCTCCTTTGAAAAGAACCCTAACCTGAGGAAACAGGGATGCCTACTTGTTTGCTCCTTTTATTTTTTTTCCTTTTTTAGACAGGCTCTTGCTATGTCACCCCAGCTGGGGTACAGTATTGTGAACAGGGCTCACTGAAGCCTCCAACTCCTGGGCTCAAGCAATCCTCCTGCCTCAGCCTCCTGAATAGCTGGGACTACAGGCACGTACCACCACAGCTGGCTCATTTTATTTTTAGTACAGACAAGGTCTTGCGATGTTGCCCAGGCTGGTTTCGAACTCCTGAGCTCAAGCAATCTGCCCACCTCGTCCTCCCAAAATGCAGGGATTACAGGTGTGAGCCACGCGCTCGGCCCACTTGCTTGTTCTAAAGCAGTTATGTCTGTGGGTATCCTGGTTTCCTGTTTCGGTTTTGATGGGTTTTCTTCTTCTGTCTCCGCCCCCTTCTTCCTGTGCTGCTTCCTCTTCCTGGAATGCTCTCCACCCCACCTGAACCCCAATCTCTGTGCCCACAAAATCTCTCAAGGACCAAGTGACTCTTCGCTTAACTTTCACGACCCTTCATTTTTGCACTTACCAAGTCCCACCTTGAGTTACTTATGAACAGCTCTCCCTAACAGATTACATCCTGTGACAGCTGAAATGCATTTGAGCCTATTACAGACACACTGCTGAATGATTAACACCTGGGTTTTCTCCTAAACTCAAAAATTGATCTTGGCTAGCCACCGTGGCTCAAGCCCATCATCCCAGCACTTTGGGAGGCCAAGGCTGGAGGATCAAGGTCATGAGTTCGAGACCAGCCTGGTTCACATGGTGAAACCCCGTCTCTACTAAAAATACAAAAATTAGCCAGATGTGGTGGCAAGCACCTATAATCCCAGTTACTCAGGAGGCTGAGGCAGGAGAATCGCTTGAACCCAGAAGGTGGAGGTTGCAATGAGCTGTGATCTCGCTATTGCACCCCAGCCTGGGCAATGAGTGAAGCTCCATCTCAAAATAAATAAATAAATAGATAAACAAACAAACGAAGCAAAGCTTAAAACAACTGTCTCTAAGCTATTACTAAATACAATTTAATGTTCCAAGAAAAAGTTGATAAGTCTTGGAATTTTTTTGTAGACACAAGCTCTTATAAATCCTTTTATTTAAGTTTGAAAAACGGTTAAAACCAGAGGCTATGTTTCTTTAGCAAGAACCTTGAAAGAGTCTTTCAGAAACAATTGATAAAAGGGTTTCTCAGAAGGCAAGCACTGGATGGAGAAGCAGCTCAGCTGGTGGGTAAAATAACAGCCCCAAAGGTATCCAGGTCCAAGTCCCTGGAACCTGGAAATGTTACTTTTCATGGTAACAAGGATTTTGTAGACTGATTAAGGATCTTGGGTGGGAAAATTGCCCTGTACTATCTGGATAGTCACTGAATGCAATTACCAGTGTTCTTGGAAGAGGGAGGCAGAGGGAGATGTGAAGATGCTGGCCTTGAAAATGGAGGAAGGGGACATGAGCCAAGGAGTCTGGAATACAGCTCCAGAAGCCAGAAAAGGCAAGCAAATGAGCTAGGTTCTCCTGAGAGTCCAGCAAACAGCAAAGCCCTGCCAATGCTGGGATTCACATGGGGTGGCTGGCAAAATATTAGGGAAGTTATAGATTATAGTCTCAAACTTTTTGGAAGGCTGAAAGGTTTTAATGACAATGGGCTGAAGGCAGCCAGTTCATACATTAGAGTATTAAGTGATAGAGTAAAAAGATTAGGATAATAAAAGCTTCCCCAATTAAGTCCATGTACCCCACATTCCTTTGTCTCTACTGTGTTTATTCATGTAAACTGTGCTGGATGGTCCTCTACGGGGAGGTTGAAGGGGGATTACCTGTTAATGGTGTTTATTCTGGGCCCAGAATCAAGACCTTTTATCATCCGTAAAACCTCTCTTTTAACCATGTTAATTATCCACAATCATGTTGACTTAGAAGCTCCGTTATTAAATCTACACCGAATAAATGCAAGGAGGAACAGGGAGTGGTGGTCGGCTGGCTGCAATCTCCCTCTGAGAGCAGCCAATGACCATCCCTAGCCCACTCGACACTGTATTGTGTGTGCGTGAGTGCATTCATTCACCTGGTCACTGAGTCAGGATCTGCAGGACAGACCTCCACAGGTGGTGATCAGTGTCTCATGCCACCTTGATTTTAGCCTAGTGGAACTGATTTTGGACTTTTGGCCTCCAGAACTGCAGGAAAGTATGTCTGTGTTTTCAGCTGTCAAGTTTTGTGGTGATTTGTTACAGTGGAAGGAAATTAATTCACCTTGGTTATAGAATTCAAAGAAAGTCAGCAAAATTTCACCTTTTTTTCTTTTTCTTATTAAAAAAAAAATAGAGATGGGGTCTTCTATCAGCCCAGGCTGATCTCAAACTCTTGGGCTCAAGCAATCCTCCCAGCTTGACCTCCCAAAGTGCTGGGATTACAGGCATAAGCCGCCAAGCCCAGCCAAAATTTGACATGTTGATGACTAAAATATTTAAATTAAACTTACACCTATGTTGACTCTTGTCATCGTAAAAGTTTTTGTTTTACATCTGTTTATTGAAAAGGGGCAAAGAGCTCTCCTGTAAAACCAAGATTTATTTTAATGCCTCTAAGATCTGTTTACTTGTAACTCTGAGATTATGAATGTGTATTCCTGGAAAGGGTTGGAATGTTTGTGGCAAAAAAACTGTGAAGGTTCATTTGCTGGACAATTTACCATGAGCACTCCTTGGATGATGACCGCAGTACGACCTCGGCCATTCCGGTTCTAATAAATTTAACCAGCTCTGGGTATGCATAGCTCTGAGAGGATTCTCTGCAGATGAGGAACTTAGCTAAAAGAGTCCTCTTTGTAAAATCATTTCACAAAGTTATCGCAACCGCGCAATATTATAATATAGACACTTCTTGCGCAATGCAATTGCTTTGTTAAGTTTTAGTCTATCTTCATAAACACCACTTTTTAACAATTGAGTTGACATTACTTTGTAGGTAAGTGAGCATTTTACAGTAATTTCGGGTTTCATGGTCAATACATCGAAATGGTTCCTACATAGACACTCAGGTATAGATGTCACCAATGCTAAGGGGAAAATTTTGCCTGATACTCTAAGGACGCTGAGCGCCGCGTCGGGCCCCTGGTCCGGGAGAAGCTCTCTGGTTCTGTCTTGGACTCACAGACCGGACTGCTCCCCGGGCCGAGGGCGCTTACCCCGCGGACCACTGCAGCACGTCGGCCGGCTGGGTGCGGATGGCAGCCTTGGTGAACTGCTTCAGGATGTCCGGCAGCTCCGGGGGAATGTGGATCTGCTGAGCGCAGAACATGGTGTCCGGAAGCGGCATCGCTCTCCGCAGGCCGGACCAGGCTGGGGAATCGCGGCGCGCTGCGGGGAGGAAGGGCGGCCGTCGGCTCGGGCGCGGTGGAGCAGCTAGCAGCGCGGGGATCGTGGCCCGGGCCGCCCGCCCTCCCGCTCCTGAGGTTGGGGCCGGCTTCCCGGGTGCTCTTACCGGCTCCTCCGCGGGTTTCCTCGAGAAATGAGGACCAACTGCCTCCCCAGCTACACCCTAGACCCTGCAGATAGCGAGCTTGGGCCGCTGCTAGGGACGCGCTCGGTATCCAGGCAACCGGGACGCGCGCAGGCCCCGCCCCCGACACCGCGCACGCGCACACGGCCCTGAGCGAGGCGGGGCTGCCCCGGGTGGGATGGGGAGGTACTGGCGGGGTCCGGCTGGGAGCCCTCGCCGGTCTCCAGTGCTTCAGAGCCGCGGGAGCTGAGCGTCTCACCTAGGTAAGGGTCTTCGGATCTGTTTCCCGCCGCCGAATGTGAGCGGCGAACTCACAAAGGACTCCTTCCCCGTGCTCTGGCTACGTGAGGCTGAGGCGAGGGTACTCGGGCCTGCTAGGAGGGAAGCGGGTGAAGTGACGGGGCTGATCGCCCGGGCGGCGCGGGACCCGACTGCGCCCGAGGCCGCTTCTCCCAACGTCTCGGGCCTCGAACTGCCCACGTGCCTAAGCCGTCCCTTAGTGAATCTCAGTTCTTAAGTTAAAAAGCCACTTAGACAGTGGGCAGTTCCAGCTAAAACAATATCGTATTTCTTAAGATAGGGTGGTTGAGCCAATGTGACCGGCTCTAGGAGAAAATAAGTCACATCTCCTGTCAAAAGAGCTTTGAGTGGAAGGATAGGAGAAACCTCGAATTTGGTGGGTGCTGACCAAGGCACCATAACTTTGCTGTAGGGAGTGACCTGACTGGCTGCTGCAGTTGCCGTTAACAGCCACCGTATGCGTGAGACCCCCAGACCCACCACCTCTTGCTCACCTCCAAACAGGAAGATGGAGAAAACTACAGTGAGCTACTTCCAAGACGGGTCAATGGCAAGCCCTCTCTTCAAGGAAACTGGGGAAGTTGCCCGATTTTGATCGTTTCCGTTGGGTCCAAAATACACATATAAACATTTCTGAATTAACAGCATTGGCAAAAACTGAAAATACTTGTCAACAAGGAAATTGGGCCAGGCGCGGTGGCTCAGCCTGTGAATCCCAGCACTTTGGGAGGCCAAGGGGAGCAGATCGCCTGAGGTCAAGAGTTCTAGAACAGTCTGGCCAAAATGATGAAATCCCCGTCTCTACAAAAAATTAGCTGGGCATGGTGGCGCGTGCCTATAATCACAGCTGTTTGAGAGGCTGAGGCAGGAGAATAGCTTGAGCCCAGGAGGCGGAGGTTGCAGTGAGCAGAGACTGCGCCACTGCACTCCAGCCTGGGCGACAGAGCAAGACTCTGTCTCAAAAAAAAAAAAAAAAAGAGGAATCTTACACAGTGTTGAGGATGTTAATTAGTACCTTTAGGGGGCAATTTGACACTATAAAATTTTTTTATGATTGTGCAATATTACTTCTGGGAATTCATCCTACGTAAATACTATAAAAAGTAATATGTATGAAAACCTTTACTATACCATATAATTAAATGGGATAATTGTCTTCTGTAAAACAAATCATGGCCTGGCCACACAATGGTATGAAAAAAGACACCCATGATATATAAAGTGACAAAAAGCATCTTGTCGAACAATCTGTGCAGTATGACACATTTATGGTGATAAATGATTCTGTGAATGTGTGTCTGGAAGCATATAACTAAACTATAACAGCAGTTACCTATGGGAAATGAGACAGGGCTTTCAGGTTTTATTTTGGCCACATTATTTTGATTCTAAATTCATAATTTATTTACTAACTTAGCAATACTATTGAGTACCAAATATTTGCCAGGGAAGTGTTCTGGAAATACAGTAATAATTGTTAAAAAAAAAATAAAATCTTTGGAGCTTACATTCAAGTGGGTAAAATATGCAAATGTAAACAAAGGTAAACCATATGTTTAAAAGGACAAAAGAGAGCAGGGAGTACAAAATACAGCAGGGAGATGAGACAGGAATTCCCCACTAGCTGCAGCTTTCAATAAGCCTCAGTAAGAATGACACTTGAGGAAAAATGAGGAGGCTGAAGAGCCTGAATGAACATTTGGGTAGGGCAAATAGCAAGTGCAAAGACCCTAAGGCCTGACCTGTTTTGGAAGCAGGGAGGACAGCGGAAGCAGGGTGAACACAGAGGTGATGGGTCACAGAAGGAAGGAAAGGGGTGCCCCATGGTTTGCCCAGCTTTGAAGGCTATTGTGGACTTTGAGTTTGATGGTAGTCTATTGGAGAGTTCTGAGGATTGGTGTGATCTGACTTGGATCGCAAGGAGAACATTCTGGATTCAATGTTGAAAATGAATGGAAAAAAGCAAAGGCAGAGGCAGCAAGCTCAGGAGAAACAGCAATTGAGACTTCTTTATGTAATCTAGATGCAAGTCATTTATCAGAAATGTTTTGCAAATATTTTCTGCCATATTACAGCTTGTCTTTTTGTTCTCTTAATGGTATCTTTCAAAGAGAAGTTTTCAATTTTGATAAAGTACAAGTTATCGATTTTTCCATCTTGGATTGTGCTTTTGGTGTTGGATCTAAGAAATCTTTGCCTAACCCAAGGCTGAACATGTTTTCCTTGTTGTCTTCTAGAAATTATAGTTTTGGGTTTTATGTCTAGAACTATCCATTTCGACTTTAATCTTTGCATGCGTTAAGATATGGGTCAATTAATTTTTAATTTTGCATCTGATTACCCAATTATTCCAGCACCAGCTTTTCAAAACCTTTGCATCTTTGTCAAAAATCAGTTGTTCACATACATGCTGGGCTGTTTCTGGACTCTGTTCTGTTCCATCAGACCAACCCACAGCAAGCAGAAGGGACTGATCCCAAAAACATATGAGTGAATGAATGGGGGTACTGGGTATGAAGCTTCTCTTCTTTAGGTGTGTCCTAAAGAAGAGTTACTGAACAAACACTGAGAAGCAGAAAAACTCCAGCACTGCTACATATGTAAAGAGGTTTCAGAATAATTAAACAATGTCAAATGAGGCAAAAAAGGACCTCCATGTAGCATTTACATATGGGTGGTTTTGGAGAAGTGTGTAAGTAGAACGAGATAGAAGGCTGAAAGAGTAATGGTAGGGGGCTACATACACAGAACAGTGACTACGGAAGTGGCAAGGCCATCTCTCCCAGGTGAATCCTTCTGTGTTCCCCATGGCATTTTATTCATACCTCTGTAATACAATCTTTTGCTCATGTTTCTGTTCCACTTTGAGCTCCTTGAAGGGAGACATCGTACCTCATTCAACTATAGTACTAAGTACAGTGCTAGAAATAAAACGGACACCAAAATAAAAGCATTGGGGAGGGGAATGTTACCTTCTCAGCCCAGTTCTCCTTTATCACTCTGTGTTTGCAACAAGAGTAGCTAACTGTGATGTGGAAGGGGGAAATTGATGGCCACTTTCCTGAACTTAACCATGCAATTTCCTTTGCTCAAAAATTTCAACTTCACAGACTAAGGATATGTATGATTCAAATAGCATTTCCTCTATCACCCCTGCATTTAAAGTAAATAAAAATGCATTTGGTTGGGGGAAAACAATCATGGAAAAAATGTTGAACCTAGAAACAAGGAAAAATCACAAAGTCTGTGAAGCAAAAGGATCTCCTCAGGGCACTCAGAAGGAAAAAAAACATCATGCAAATCTCTCCTTTTTCTCTGGGATATATGGTGAAGTATGTAAAATGGATTTGATTGGTTTTACTCTAAGTATTCAGCTGAAAGACAACCTTAGCAAAACTCTTTCTGATCTCATAGCAGACATGCAGAAGTGGGCAGTATCTTGCCATCGCACAAAATGTGGGGCTTTCCTCTTTCCAGTGAGGAGTCTACAGCCCAAGTTGGGGAAACTGGACGGGAGGGATGTGTTCTCTGCAACTATACATTTAAACTTATGCATAAAGGGGAGGAGCCAGTCACATTTAACTGGAGTTATTTTTCTTTCCTATTAAAAACATCTAGATTATCTATGCGGGCTAACAATGCATAATTCTGCAATCTTAAAGCAATTTTGCAACAAGGCAAAAAAAAAAAAAACTAGACTACAACTAACATCCACTTTATTCAATTTTGTTCTCTCAACTTAGAAGGCAACGTCCCTATGACCATCAGAATATATGTACATAAAACTGATCTGGGTACCTAAGGTGTTTAATAGAAGATTAACTAAATGTTCTATCTAGCTTCTACAACAGTTATTCCTAGACCTTAGTCATAATATATTTTTTAAGGTACTACGACACTTTCATGAGGCACTCGTACAAAACAGGAATGAAAACATACATAGAGTGTCTTATCTTTATGTTGTATTAATGCCAAAGATATTGTCAGGAATTTTAAAGAAGCCCTTACTCATGATGGCTATTTTTAAAAATGGCACAGAACAGTAACAGGCTGAAAAGAAAACGTTTGATTGAAGGGACACCTTAAGTAAATATAAGACAGCTTAACCAAGAAAGTTAGCGAAATCTCCACAAATGAGACTTTTAATAATACTTCAATGGTAAGACATTTTAGTTGTTTTTTTCTTGATGGCTGAATAATTAACAACCTAAAGGAGTATTTTAAACATACCTTTTAATTTTACAATGTAGAAAACTTCTCACATTAAGTAGAGAGCTTACTCAACCCTGAAAATGAAAAGAAGTAGCTAACTTGCCAAGTTTTAAAAGTGCCAGTGTTCTGTGGCACTACATTTTCCTGCATGTGTGCGTGTTCACGCACATTCGCAAACACAATACAATGTAGAAATGTCCAGTGTTTGTTTTGTTTTAAAAAGTCATCAATTCAACCTAAATTCAAGAATTACACTTTAATAGTGGCATTTTGCCAATACAGAAATGACGTATCTTGGATCAAATCATTTGAAGGAAAGTTATTACTTAAGGGAAAGAAAATCCACAAGAATCCACAAGAATAACAGTTACATTAAATGTTGAAATAAAAATTATTTTTTGTTTACATCTGGAATTCAGATGGCCCATCTTCACTGTTTCTGCAGAGAACTAAGAGGGGGAAAAGAAAATCACCGAAATACATGGAGGTATTTTTTAAGGCTAGCTATACACAAACTCCACATTGGCATTTTTCTTCAGTCTTCATCTCAACTATTAAAGAGTTTAAAAATCAAACATAATTTACTAATGAACAACTGCACACTTCATATACTATGACCATTTGATAACCAGTACAACTAACCCCAAATGCTGATTTGTCCTCAATTTATAAATAGTAAAAATAAAACAAAAAGGTCTTTCCTAGTTAACTTTCTTGAAGGTTGTTTTAACTCAATATAAAATGAAGCAAAATTATACTATGATTTAAAAAAAAAATGTGAAGGCAGCAATACTAGCATTTTCTGAACTATGGGTTTTAAATATTTAAAAGACTCTTGATTAATATGAATAATAAAACCTGGATGCTGCCCAAGCAAATACTATGCCAGAAAATGCTTTCCCTATGAAAATACTTATCTCATTGAAAACAACAGGATATAACGTACAACTGAAAAACTAGGGGAGAATTCTTAAGTAAGACAATATAAATTACCTGCCAGTGAAACGGAGGGCAATTTTTTGGCCATTCATATTGTTTTTTTTTTTACAAAACATCTGATAAGATTCATTTAAAATTCTGTAGGATTAAGAATTTTTAACCTTTTTAAGTACCTGCCTAGGATCTCTGTTAAAACAAGGTATGTTCCAATGACTTTACACCTCCACAAATTCTTTGAAAATTAAAAAAAAAAAAAATGAAATTTATCAAGTTGGCCAGACATGGTGGCTCACGCCTGCTGTAATCCCAGCACTTTGGAAGGCCAAGTCAGGAGTTCAAGACCAGCCTGGCCAACATAGTGAAACCCCATCTCTACTAAAAATACTAAAATTAGCCAGGCAGGGTGGCGTGCACCTGTAGTACCAGCTACTCAGGAGGCTGAGGCAGGAGAATTGCTTGAACCTGGGAGGCAAAGGCTGCAGTGAGCCAGAATCGTGCCACTGCACTCCAGCCTGGGCAACAGAGTGAGACTCCGTTATAAAAAAAAAAAAAAAATTATATAAAATCAAGTTATATGCCCAATTCAGTAATATTTTTCTCTCAAATAAAATAATTTACATTAGAAATACACCATGACAGGCAGCATTGTGTTTTAAAATCCTCTTACATTTTTATAGGCCTAAATTTCTGAGTAAAGGTGGGGTAACAAAGACCTTACCTTCAAATGAGAGAAACGGCTACTCCAAAGTGCCAAAGAGTGTTAACACTGAATCCTATGTCAAGCATTATTTCTGATACTGATGCTTTTAAAAATATATTTTAAAGTAATTACTTACCACTTAGGGGTAAAATTGCTGATGCATAAAACCACCAGAACACATTGCTCTTGATTTTGGTAGCTTATGTTTGGCTGACTTGCATATGTTAAAAATTCTCAGATTTTAGTTCATGGAGTTTAATACTATATGATAATTCTTTTACAGTTTCTGAAGACCTATGCTATATACTTCCTATGAGACCTTCTAAATTATCATCCAAAAACAAATACTAAACTTCAATGTACCTCTAGCATTAAACACTTAGATCATGTACCCAACCATTCTATTTTTCTAAACTTCTAACTCGAAGCTTTGGTTATGAGGGAAAAAGTCTGTAAGGTTCAGTTCTCTGAGATTTTTCAAAAAGTTTCCAATGAAATAAATTCCTATGTTAAAAGGCCACCTCGGCCAAGCTTCCTCCTTCTGGACAAATAATGAATTGGTTTTATTTGAAGTTTTATTCTGTAAACAAAAAGCTCTGGAAACTTTGGGATTTCCTGATGAAAAGCTCGGAGAAATGCACACGTAATCCTCACCCAGTGAGGCAAGACCAAATGTTCTAACCAGTCTTCTCCAATGCTGTCAGTCTAAGACCACGACCACATCTGTACTTCACAAGCATCTCAGAAGTCCTAAATCCAGTAAGATGCAGTACAGTTGGTGATGTCATTCTGAAAGATGTATGACCTTGCATGACGGTTGGCCACTGCTACAAAAAAGAGATAGTTGTGTGTGGAAAAGGGAGGATGGTGGCAGCGGGGGTGGGGATTGGGGAGTTGGGGAGCTACTGAAAATCTTTATTTGGACTTTTTTCTAAGTATAGACATGCCCCTAACAAGCACTGAAACCCAACTCCCAATGCTGATCACATCAGGAATATTAAATTACCAAATTAAAAATAATTTCCTCACCTAGCACAAGATACTATACAATATAACAAACAGACACATGAAAAAATCAGGCAGTAGAAAATGTACAACAGCTTTGGTGTTATACAATATAACCTCGACAAACGACTAACAGTGAAGCATAAAGTTCATGTTTTCTTACCACAGACACTCCACTGCTGATTTCTACTTGTTTCCTTTTACGTTCTTGATAAGGTCTGAATAGCCAAGAAAGAATGAATGTACAGTTCCCTTAGAGAGAGCTGCTAGGAGCATCATGAACTGTGCTCCACAAGACGTCACTGAGAAGTCTTGCCTGTGCACTACTGCTCTGTGGCACGTTTCCTGTCAAGATCACAGCAGGTCCAAAATAAAGTGACAACTAGATTTAATAAATTAATATACATTTTGTTTAAAGATGTACAATGCACATTCTGTTTAATCCAAGGTTTTAGGGTATCAAGGAACTTCTATTTACACATATACAAATCTCAGACAGCAGTAATGTCAGAAATGCAGGGAAGAGCAGCAGAGCCTTACACCACTGCTCTCTGAATGCTGAGAACAAAAGTCAAATACATTTAACTTAAAAACGCTGAGAGATCACTGGGAAAAATCTCCAAGGAGAGAAGTCCACAAAAAAGGACACGAAAAGGAGAAGGTCAAGTTGCTGAGACAACCACTTTATTCTTGGGATGACTGTGGAGGTGGTGGAGATGAGCCTTGTTTGCCAGATTTCCGTTCGTAGTTCACAAGTCGTTGCCCCACAAGGTATCTAGGTTGCAAAAACAAAGTGGTTACTCTATGAACTTACAGAGTAAAACATTCTTATGTCTTTTTTAATCTAACTCCTACTTAAAACCCATCAATGGTTGGGTGAGCCAAAGGGAGTCATGAGTGAACAACTGTGTAAGGGCCGGCATGTCTAGCTGGGTATGGGTTTGTAGGAAGCTGCAGGAGCAGCAAAGGCTGGAAGGCTTCCAATGCTGTGCAATGGAGGACATGATTCAGTCAGTGGTTTAGGGGGTTCTTATCAACTCAGACACTTGGAGACCAGGAGGAATACAGTAAACTTATGCAGTGAATTTATCTGTTAAGGTTCAGATTTTATAAAACAACTTAATGGGCAGATCTAAGGAGGTGGACTGAAAACAAGACCATCAGAAAGCTGGGAAAGGGCTGGGCAAGGTGGCTCACACCTGTAATCCCAGCACTTTAGGAGGCTGAGGTGGGCAGATCACCTGAGATCAGGAGTTTGAGAGCAGCCTGGCCAACATGGTGAAACCTCATCTCTACTAAAAACACAAAAAATTAGCTGGGCATGTTGGCACGTGCCTGTAGCCCCAGCTACTATGGAGGCTGAGACAGGAAAATTGCTTAAACCTAGGAGGTGGAGGTTGCAGTGAGCTGAGATTGCGCCATTGCACTCCAGCCTGGGTGACAGAGTGTGACTCCATCTCAAGGGGAAAAAAAAAAGGAAGAGACAAAAAGTAAAACCAGAAGCTCTTGTTACAAAAAAGGAAGGAGAAATCAAAGGACAGATTTCAGTGAAGTCAAAGGGAAGATGGCATGGCACTGAGTGTGGGTGACAGGAGGTAGGAGAACATGGTTCAACAACAGAATGGCAAGTGTTACGTATGTGGTGAAAGGAGAAGGCAATGGCAAAGCCTGCAGGGCTGTAGAAACAAGGCAGATGTTACTGTGGCTGGAGCGACAGGGCTGGAGATCCTGCTCAAGGAGACAGACATCTCCAATGCCAGGGAAGGGCGACAGCTGCATAGAAGGCTCACTGAGGGGCTGGTACATAGTAATGACAGAATATCAACACACACAAAGAATATGGTCAGCATTGTGGCAATGACAAAATAAGTAAATAAAAAGCATACAGAAACAAAGTTAACTAAATTGTACAAGTCCAAAAAGTAACTCAATGGCAGAGAAAGAAGACTCTGAACCCAACTCCCTCTCTTCCACCACCACTCTCTCACACACAAGCCTACCACACACACACGCACGCGTGCTCACTCTCTCTCAGCACCTCCTATAGACCAAACACTATGCTAAAGAGTACATAGACCTTAGCTTTCTAAAAAACAAAACAAACAAAATGCTTCAAGGCTTAGCTTTCTAAAAAAAAAACCAACCAAACAAAAAAGTACATATACAACAGCAGACAAGACATGCCCTCACCAAAGTCTACAGTTCAACACTTTTCTGCATGAAGGAATATATGGGAAAAGAAGAAAGAGGACACTGGGCTACAGGAAAAAGCAGAAGATAAAACATGAGAAATAACAGGTCAATGGGAACAGACCCCTGGCAAAGGCCGAGAAGGACAGGGTACAGAAAGGCAGGAAGAAACAGGCAGAAACTTCCCTGACGGCATGTCTTGCTTGTCATTCTGTTTGCAGTAACATACTTCTCTGCCAAAAAGTTAAGAGCTAAAAGTTGATTTTCATCATTGGAAAGACGCTTCCTCTTCTTTCAGCTGACAGTCCTTGGTACTCTGACTGCCGAAGTATACGTGTATTTTTTACTGTCAGTAAATGCTTTGGAGAAGTCTTGAACACTATAAATTTCATTCTCAAAAATATTACTCCTCAGAGTAAGGTAACTCTATAATTTGTTGTGCAAAGGGGGACAAGCACAAGTAAAAGGGGGTACTGTTCATAATGACACAGAGGCAGCAGGTGTAAACTGGGACTCTCTTGGCCAACTGAGATGAATAACAATAAACTCACTTTTTCTGCTAGACCCCATTGAAGCAGATCATTCAGCTGACAGGACAGGAAAGGTCAAATATTACCCCAGAAAGGTGTTTTCCTGTGCTTTCCTCAAACTCTCACTGAGATCAAGTGACAGAGTTTTCAATGGTTTCTTCAAGACAGAGAGTCCTACAACATTTTTATGGCAACCCTCAAGCCTCTCTGTGCAACCTCAGAGGCCCTGCATAAGCAAGAGGGGCTTACGCAGGCACTGCTGGTTTGTAATGCAAGCTTATTTTTATCTAAACTATTTAATATACTGTCAGACCAAAACATTTGAAAACTAAAAAACTATTTGGAATAGGCATTAAAAAATCTCCCGGCCAGGTGTGGTGGCTGACACCTGTAATCCCAACACTTTGGGAGGCTGAGGTGAGCAGATTATGAGGTCAGGAGATCGAGACCGACCTGGCCAACATGGTGAAACCCTATCTCTACTAAAAATGCAAAAATTAGCTAGGCGTGGTGACACACACCTATAATCCCAGCTACTCAGGAGGCTGAGGCAGGAGAATCGCTTGAACCCGGGAGGCAGAGGTTGCAGTGAGCAGAGATCATGCCACTACACTCCAGCCTGGTGACAGAGCAAGACTGCGTCTCAAAAACAAAACAAAACAAACAAAAAAACCCAAAAAAAACCTCCCTCTCCAAAATAGTTTCTCCCAGTCTTTTCCAGCTCCATAAATGACAACTCCATATTCCCTCCCTGTTGTTTGGACCAATTAAATCCTTGATTCCACTCTCCTTTACATCTTACACCTAATCTGTCAGGAAATCTTGCTAATCCCACCTCCAAGTATATCCAGAATCTGAGCACATTTCTCTCCTATGATTTGTCACATCAGACACATAAATTAAGAACTGAAAACACAAGAGATGAATAGAACACCAGACTTACTTGTCATTTTTAATATGTTCATAAAGGCGCTTAAACTGGCGGACTTGGAAGGATAAGATTGCCATCAATACCACAACCATCAGTAAAAATGGATAAATCCGCCGATGGACTAAGTTTTGCATTTCTGCAGTAACACCTAGAAAACCAAAAAAGAAAAACTTTAAGTGTATGTGAAGTAACAGTGACATGAAACATAAACACGTCCTTCTCCTGGGAAGAATGGACTGGGGTAGACAAGCTTTCTAAGCCTCAGGTCTGTTGACTTTCTACAATCTGTGTGGGTCATGAGACCTTTCTGACACCCACCTTTCTCAGTCGTAAAACAAGGAGGCCAGGCATGGTAGCTCATACCTCTAATCTCAGCACTTTGGGAGGCCAAGGCGGGTGGATCACTTGAGGTCAGGAGTTCTAGACCAACCTGGCCAAGATGGCAAAACCCTGTCTCTACCAAAAAATATTAAAATTAGCCAGATGTGGTGGCGTTTGCCTATAGAGCCAGCTACTCGGGAGGCTGAGGTGGGAGAATCGCTTGAACCTGGAAGGTGGAGGCTGCAGGGAGCTAAGATCGCGCCACTGCATTCCAACCTGGGCAAGAGAGTGAGACCCTGCCTCAAACAACAAACAAACAAAAAAGGAACCGGATGAGATTACTTATCAGGCTCCATAAGCAGCAGTGTCATTTATACATTTCAACTGCATCATGGTTTAAAGAGATAAAAAACCAAAACTGTGCTTACATAATAAAAAGTATTCTTAAACTTTTAGAACACACATGTATTTGTTTTTCTATATTTAACCCATGAGTTTTAATACTTCTTGGCAGAGGGAGTTGGGGGCTTTAAAATCAGAGCAAGTATTTTCAAAAAAAAAAAAATTCAGAAAATTAATACCCTCAGGTGGATTATTCGAAACACCACAACAGTGTGCTGTGCATAAGCTCTGGAGCTGAGCTTGAATTTGAATGCTGCTCTTACCCCTTAAAAACTAGACTTTGGGGTAAGACTATCAATCTCTAAAAACCTCAATTTCCCATTTCTAAAATAGAGTTGATAAAACATATTCAAAAGCTACCCTAAGAATAACATGGAAGAATTACATAAAGCCTCTAAACAGGGCAAAACAAGTACTAACATTTTTCATTTGCCACTCTTTTTCCCTTCCAAAGACTTTCCAGAAAGGCTCACAATAAATTTTTTTCATTTTTTTTTTTTCTTTTTTGCTATGGCAAATCAACACAACAAAATTTTTAAAAATGAAAATATGAAGGACTGGTTTGGAAATCCAAATTCTTAAGTCTACGTACTATTAATGGGCAGAACATAATATATACCAATGAGAATTAAAAAAGAAAACAGGGCATTCCTATTCTAGACAAAACCAGTAAATAGTCAAAATGATTTAATTTTAATAACGTATTCAACTAATAAGCAATGGCCTGGGCTTGGTGGCTCGTGCCTGTAATCCCAGCACTTTGGGAGGCCAAGATAGGTGGATCACCTGAGTTGAGAAGTTCAAGACCAGCCTGGCCAATATGGTGAAACCCCATATTTGGTGAAACTCTACCAAAAATTCAAAAATTAGCTGGGCATGGTGGCGCACGCCTGTAGTTCCAGCTACTCAAAAGGCTGAGGCAGGGGAATCGTGTGAACCTGGGAGGTGGAGGTTGCAGAGAGCCGAGACTGCACCACTGTACTCCAGCCTGGGCGACAGAGCGAGATTCCATCTCTCAGAACAAAACTAAACAAAAATAATAAGCAATGAGCTCTGAAATAACATTTTGCATGTTTATTTTAATATGGTATTTATGATACTGGGCATAGTCACAATTCAAGCCAAGTAAAAGCCTTGAAGTTTCTACTTAGAAGGAACCAGGAAACAATGCAGTTTGCACACTGTGGGTCCTCCGATTAACTGTTCCGTTTCCCATGCCACCCTGCAGACTGAGGAATACATTGCTTAGCTTCTGTCTATACAAACCTGCATTTAGCAATTTTTTTTTTAAGAGACAGGGTCTTGCTCTGTTGGCTGGGCTAGACTGGAATGGCACAATCTGTAGCCCTGAACTCCTGGGTTCAAGTGATCCTCCTGCCTAAGCCTCCAGAGCAGCTGAGATTACAGGCATGTGCCACCACCCCCAGCTAATATAATTTTTTTTTTTAGAGACTGGGTCTCACCATGTTGCTCAGGCAGGTCTTGAATTCCTGGCCTCAAGCAGCCTCCCACCTCAGCCTCCCAAGTAGCTGGGATTATAGGTACAAGCCTAATATCTTTACTGGCTGAGAAGCAATGAGGCTGTTAGAAGCCAAACCAGTGGCCAAAGGTAAAGAAAGGCAAACACAAAAGGGCTTCCAAGGGGCTGGAAAAGTTCTATTTCTTGACCTAGTAAGGTAACATACAATTATACATGTTACACTGCAAAAAAGTTTGGTTGTGTTTTTTTTAAGCTGTTCTCTCATGGTTAAAGGGAGGAGGGGGCATTTCTGGCAGATGGATAAGACAAATCAAAGTCTGGAGATAGGCATGGGAGAAGAGGACATGGTGTGTTTTATAAGAGGCCATTCCACAGCTGTTTAATCCAACTCAAGAGTATATGACTTAGAGTGAGAAAAAAAGTAAGGTCAAACTGAAGCCCACATCAATGCAAACGAGAAGCCTTGTAAACTATGCCAAAAGGTTGTACTATATTAAAGGCCACAGAGGGACCAATGAAAAAATGTTCACCAAAGAGGTACAATGAGATACATTCTTTTGAAAGGTCATTGTGCCCAGTGTGGAGAAGTAATTAGTGGTAGCAGGTTCAAAGCTGGGAAACCAGATAGGAAGGTGTCATAGTTAAGGTAGGAGATGAATGACTCAACAAGTCAGGAGCAAAGGCACCAGAGAGAAGAGACCAGATTGCTCAGGGAAGAATGAGACACCTGGAGACCATATGGACATGGAGAACAGAATAAGGTGACAGGGATAGTCTTCAAGGTTTCTGACTTAAACATTGTTGGATGATAAAGTTTGTGACTGAGAGATGGAATTCTGGAGAAGAAAAAGATTTGGAAAGAAAAGTCTCTGCTTATAATTTTGAAAATATGCTAGGTTTAAGGAGCTATGAGGATTTTTCAGTACACAATCAACAAGACAGTATATTTCCAAGTATAAACATGCTGCACATTAGCATCTCCTCTTTGAGTCTCCTTTTATGCCCAAGAATATTTTTTAAAAATTAAATATAATGACACTGTTACTTAATTTTACAAGTATATGATCACAGCATTTCTAGTCAGGAGACAACAACTTGAAGGAAATCTGCTCCTGCCTATTTTGTAAAGCATGTACATTACAAATTTTATCACCTGCTAGAGAAAAGAACTGTACCAAAGAGCTTTATGATCGTCTAATCTTACCCAGAGTAGTCAAATCTAAGAAAAGTGGTATTTTGAAATCACTGTTTTAGCTGGATTCATGTTTACAAATAAAGCATATGAAGTGAGACATCCTTTTTACTGGGGGTGAAAAGAATATTCAATGTTAATAAAAGTGCTCCTTCAAGGCTCCACAACCAGCATTACATACCTAGTAAAGGAACAACACCAGAAGCTATGACATAAGGTACACACAGGGAAAGCAACAGCACAGAAATCACTGGAGCTGCCAGTTTACGAACAATATAGTGAAGGTCAATGTTCCGGATGCCATTTGCGTAAACCTGAAACATTACAAAAAAACAGTTAGAACAAAAACACAAGACAAATTCCTCCAAGTTATTAGAGCAATCTCTAATGAATCCATAAAACTAAATCTGCCAACCCAAAAAGAGTCAAACTGTTTACTTTTTCTAAAGTCAAGGCAAATTCTGGTATACCAATATAAGCATGGTGCCCATGAGTTTCTAAAGAAATGTATTTACCCACTAACACTTTACAGTTAGCTCTGCTAAATGATGAAATAAGATACTAACCTAGAATAATTTATACCTATTTGCACTATACAATACCAGATGACATTCAGTGGTATTCACTGAAGACCACATAACTTGAAGTAACTTCATACATCTTATGTAAAAAAAATGTAATATGTAATGTTGTATTATACAATATTGCATTCATTTTTTCTGAGTATGACAAGAAAACACTGAAGCAGGAAACGTTTCTGAAAAGCTTGCATAAATCAAATTTTAACAAATCAAAAGGTATTTTATTTAAAAATTTAGTATGAAAGAATTCTATAGTGAATATAAAAAAAGAAAGTCCAAGAATTACTAGAATGTTTCCATCATCTTATCCAGAAAACTCTACAAGAGTACTGCAGAGGAAAGAATGGATGGAAATGGGAAAGCCTTGGAAACAGAAATTTAGATGGCATGCAGACAGAGATGAGGCAGAAGAATGCTGTTTAACCTTTTAAAGGCATATTTCCATTCCCAAAGACACCCAGCTAACCCAAATGCATTTTAATCAATGAAGCAAGGCATCCCAGTGTTCCCCAACCATTTCCAACCATTTTACTTAAATTTATAGAGACACGTACACATGCAAGAGAAAATAATGAATAAGAGAACAAAATATTTAGAAGATCAATGATATTCCACAGCCTCTAGTATGAATAAACCTCATCTCCACACTCCTTTTACAAGGGCAGAGTTTAACCTGGTGACTCTACAGTGGACTGGCCTGCATTCTGATCCTGCCCATACTCTAGAGACACACACAAACACACAGCAATTCTCTGGCTCCCCTACCTCCCACCCCTAAGAATCAAAATCTTGAGGTACAGGCACTTTCTGAATGAATTTTCTTGAGCACGCTTGACTAAGAACTATTGTCGTTACTTTTCATACCTCAAAAAGAGGTGTACTTTACTGCTGGAGAACTGTAACGTCTTATTTATGGGGCACTGGCCTAAGAATAAAAGGGGTTCCCCACAAGTACATTTGGCTAGATAACTAAAGTTATCTAGAAGTACCAAAATCTGTTATTTTGGCTGTTTGGGACAGAAATTTTCCTTAAATGAATTACCATACTTCCTAGTCTTATTATCGGAATGCTACAGTACAATCGACCTTTTCCAAGGTATTGCCACAACAAATTATCTGGCAGTTCTGTAATACAATAATAGTCTTAGGTACTATATAGCTAGGTCAATCCAAAACAGCTCTCCTGTGTAATCTATTTTTTCCTCTGCCTTTTCTTTTATTACCTCGAGCAATAACCTTCCCCTCACCCCCAATGTACTATAGGCTTAGAAACATCAGTATCAAGCTTCACCAGAAAAAAGCACATATTATCATTTTGTCTCCACTATAGACAGAGTTCTAGATACTATAAGCTACCGGTTAACCTTCAGATAAAGGATGGCTTAAACGTGGTTGATGAAAATTCATGGGAGTATAGAAGACCACAATATGTCACCCTAAAAATATGCCTCCTTGGCATAGGGATTGTTTTGAGCTGAAGGCAACTAAGAAAGAGTAGATGCAGGAAAACTTTCTGTCCACCCTCTATTGCCTAGAAGCAGGATATAAATGTATAAAGATAAAAGGAGCCCATCCCACCTCCCTCTACCAGTGAGGACAAAGACTACCCACTGAAGAGAGCTTCAGACCTTTCCGGGCCTCTAGATGGCACCAGAGGAATCTACACTGCCAAGTTTGACTAAGGAGCAGCACCTGCCATTTGAGAAGCAATGAGACTGTGAGAAGCATTTGCCACCCGTACAGACTCAAAGTCCTTTTCCTTTATCTTGTCACTTCTCTAAAAACTTATTGTTCTTTGTTGAAGATTAGCTGAACTTCAAAGCCACCTCTTTGAAATTACTCACTCCCTGGGTATCTCCGTATCTCCATGTATATATGTACATGTATCTCCATGTACATATAGGAAAGGCAAGTAGCTTAAGGTCATAAACGGAGAAAAAGCAAGCTATTTCTTCAAAAACTTGGGAGTTTAATGCAAAACATTAAAAACACCACACTGCACATACCTGTCTACAGCTTGTACTTTCCCCCAACTCAGAAACATGCCTGGGAGCTATCGCTATCAAAACAAATAACTCTACTTCATTTTTCCAACTGCTGCCATTCTCTACTGGTGGACATCTGGATCACTTCTCATTTTTTGTCATGATAAAAAATGATGTATTTGCAGAAACGGCCTTGCTCATGCCTCCTGCATACATGCAATAGATTCTCAGGTCAAACTGCTGAGTCATAATATATAAGCATTTTTAAACTTTTGATGGTACCAAAGAATTCTCTAAGGTGATGATTTCATATATGACATATGTACATTAATAAACTTTTGTTTTTCTGTTGTTAGAGTTTTATTACAGGGCTCCATTTTAACTAAGAAAACAAGGGTTGAGGACAAAATTATTTTCCTCCCCTACAGTGGTAAAACAAAACTGCCATCTTAAAAAAGTTATATATGCCCATTAAACAAAAAGTAGAAAATTCAGCAAAGTAGGAAGAAATAAGAGGTATATCCGCCAAACATAAACACACAATTCCAGAATGTCTTTCCTAAAAACTTTTTTGATTTTGCTTACCTGTTCAATTACAGTTTTCAACCACCACTGAGGACCCATCAATGTTATAGCTGCAATGATTTTGGCATGCAGGACTCCAAGTGCCCAGTCCTACAGCAAAAAAAAAAACATTTAACAGATTTCTATTGTTTTTTAACCATAAACCCAGCAGATAGGCTGTATAATTTTCTTACATTATTTCACATCAAAATAGAAGTTCTACAGGATTGAAAACAATTTTACAAAAGAATAACATATACTGAAAACCCAGAGAATATTTTTTCTCCAACAGCTGAAATTCAATGTTTCCATAAAAAATCGTTCTTCTACCTTTTAAAAATCTATATGCTTTTCCCAAGAATTAGAAAAAAGCCTGGACATTAATGGAGATCTCAAAAAGCAAATAAAATAAATGCCAAGATTTTATTTCAAACTATCTTTAGGCGATTTCATTGGTTTCAACTGAGCTCATTTATGTCAAATTAAGACTGTGGGGCAATGTTTGGCCATTCTAAAGGCTTACAGATAGCATCTAGTTTGAAGCATTTGTGGTTCTACTGGGGAACTGTTACTAGGTTCCTCCTCATGGTGCAATGAACTCTTGGCCTGCCCACTTTCCAACTCTCCACCAGGCAGTCAGAGAGAGGACTACCTCCTCCCTCCCCATCACACCCTCTCCTAACCACCAAGTATCTCTTTAAATGCAAATGAAATCATGAATGTAAACTTCCCTGCTTAACAACCCTAAAGTCCTTATTAGCAAGGCACACAGAACCCTTTATAACCTGGTCTCTATCTAGCTTATTTAAAAAAAGAAAGAAAGAAACCACACGTGACATTTAGACTTATTCTTACATAAAACCAACATCGTTACAGGGAAGACTGGAGTCCTTTGGGACCTATCTTAAATCCTGATCCCTCCCCAGTAATAACTACTACTAGTTTTGAGTACATACCAACCATGATTTTCCCCATGCATTTGTCTGTCATATATATAGCTGGGATATAGTCATCAATATCCCATAAAAAATATTTAGTATCATTTTTATACAGACTTTGCTCAGGCTGTTAATTCTCCTCTTCACTGTCTACCATCCCATCTTGAGGCCAATGTTCCCATTTCTTTACTGGTTTGATTGGTTAGTCTTCTAAGGATCTTATTCAAATGGGGTGAGAGGCTGATACACACACTGAATTCTTGAATACCCTCAAATATCAATCTTCATCCTGATAAGTGAACAGCTAAATGATTTTTTGTCTGGGTAGAGGAAGCTTGATTTTTGTCGCTTTTATCTCAGCTGTCTACAAATTCTCTAATATCTTATGATTTTCAGTGCTACAGAAAAAAAGTCCAATGACAGTGTGGTTTGTTTTGAAGACTGTATACCCAAGTAAGTGTTTTTCTCTTGAATTCAATCTTACCAAATCTGGTGAGCCCTTTCAACCTATGGAATCAGATCTTTCTTCAATTCAGTTAAATTTTCTCCTAGTTTTGTTTCAATGCTGCCTTACATTTGCTCCTTCTGGAAACCCCATTATCAGTACGCTGTCTCCTAGATGCTTCCTACAAAACCCTTCTCTTTCTCCTCAATTTCCTCTTCCATTTTGCTCAGTGCTTCGTATTAATAATCTTCAAGGCCTCCAAGCCAAGGCCAGTGGTGACTGTCCACATCTTTTTTCACTACTAGATTTGTCTGAAATCCATGTCATACAGCTCCACAACTGCGTTCTGCTTTAGAGCTGCTGTTCATGTGTGCGTGTGAACATACTGCATTCGGTGTCCTGTGTGTTTGCTCTTCTCTGTAGAAGCTCATGGCCCTGCAAGCAGTTCTCTGTCAAACTGGCTTCTGTTCTGACTGCTCAGCCTTAACTTCCTTTCTGTGGCTGCTGAGTCTCCTGCATATAAAGAACTTGTTATAATTTCCTCTGCAGCCTCAAAGAGGCTTGTGCCTGGCTGAGAATATCCTAAAGGGCTTCAAAAGGATGTTTTTTGTTTTTTTTTTTTTTTTTGAGACAGAGTTTCACTCATGTTACCCAGGCTGGAGTGCAATGGCGCGACTTTGGCTCACCGCAACCTCCGCCTCCTGGGTTCAGGCAATTCTCCTGCCTCAGCCTCCTGAGTAGCTGGTACTACAGGCACGCGCTACCATGCCCAGCTAATTTTTTGTAGTTTTGGTAGAGACGGGGTTTCACCATGTTGACCAGGATGGTCTTGATCTCTTGACCTTGTGATCCACCTGCCTCGGCCTCCCAAAGTGCTGGGATTACAGGCTTGAGCCACCGCGCCCGGACTCAAAAGGATGTACCTCTTCAGGCCTTTAGAATGACCGTCCAAACAGTCTCCTACTGATGAATATGGAGAAAGCTTCCCTGCTTTTTCTACACCCTTCCAGGCTCATGGGCAGAGAAGATGCAACCTACCAATTCAGCTTTCCCTCGGCCTTTTGGGAGTCCAGCAGACACACAAATGAAATTGTTTACCCAAGGAGGTCCACGATCACTGTGATTCACGCCCTCTAAAACCCCACTGCTTTGCAGTCCTTTCTCACCAGACAAGACACACCATACTAGCTCCTCTGCTAGAATTCCAAGTGAGCCCACTATCTCACAGAGCTGCAGCCACTTGCTGCAGGAAAGACAAGTAGTTTAAAGTTATGAATGGAGAAGAAACAAGCTGTTTCTTCAAAAACTTGAGGGTTAAATGCAAAACATTAAGGACAGTACACTGCACATAACTGTCTATAGCTGTGTTTTCCTCCCACTAAGAAACATGCATGGGAGTTATCAATATCAAAACAAATAACTCTTCATTTTTTTAACTGCTACATCGATAGTCCACATTTTATTTGGCCATTCTCTACTGGTAGACATCTGGATCGCTTCTCATTTTTTGCCATTATAAAAAACGATGTATTTGCAGAAACAGCCTTGCTCATGCCTCCTGCATACATGCAGTAGATTCTGAAACGTCAACTGCTGAGTCATAATATACAAGCATTTTTAAACTTTGATATTACCAAAGAATTCTCTAAGGTGATGATGATTTCACAGGCAATGCTGAGTACTATAAAGACCACCAAAAATACAAGTATAACTAGAACAAGTTGCATTTATTTCTCATTGCAACAGGGGAGTAACATGCTTGGAGAACTTGGGGCCCCTCAGTAAGAGCGTGCTAGAAAGGGCTTATTATAGGATTTCAGCTTGTGTTGGGAATCTGAGGGAGGATTTAAGGAAGCAGGAATTTGTTCTGTATCAAATGCTATTAGAAAGCAGAGCAATCTGTGAATGGTTATCTTAATAAATAAATCTTATCTAGAAAATGAGGCAGAAGCTAAAACTGTAATTGGTAATGAAGCAGTAGCCAATCATGTTAGCCAGTAAAGGGGAATGTTTGGTCATTTTTGTGGTTTGAATAATGCTCACGTTCTGTCTGTCTTCAGACACGACTGCAGAGGGCCTTGCTTTTGTTGTCCTCTATCATGATCAGAGTGACAGGGTATGATGTCATGGCTGCTTTGCCTTTTTCAGGGCTGCATATTGTAAAACATTAAAAGGCAGATAGTATCTGCGTGTCTCATTTGCAGCAACACTATGCTTGATCACTGACTGGGTTAGGGTATTGTCAGCCTGACCCCTTCGCTTGTTGTGTGTTTCCCTTTGAGCCCATCAAGTAATTCATAAGGGGACACTTTGCCACCATGCAAACAATCACTTCTACACTGCAATGATATCATAACATACCTGCAAATTCTTTTCCCGTCATGTGGAAGGGGTCTACGGCCTCTTCCCTTGAATCTTAGCCAACATTTGTTACTTGCTTATACTCAGTAAAATGTAGTGAACAGTCATGCTATAGGGCTTCTGACATGGGGTCATAAAAGATGATGCAGCTTCTTGCTTGTAGGGTCACTCATTCCCCTGAACTACAACGTAAGAAGCCCAAGTACCCTGAGGTTACTGAGCTATGAAGGAGGAGCTCCAGTCAACGGCCCCAGATAAGTAGCAACCAACAACAAGCATCAACTCTCACACTGTTGAGTGATCATACCTCCAAATGATTCCAGCCATAACTGTCAAATCATTCCCAGCCATTGAATCTTCCCAGCTGAGGCCCCAGATATTACTGAGCAGAGACAAACCAATATGCAGTCTTAATATCTGACTCATAGACTACAGACAAAAGTAAAATGATTGTTTTAAGCCATAAAGTTGTGGGATAACTTGTTACGCAGCAACAGCAACTGAAGATCAATCATTCATCTGTTGGGGCCAATATTCATTAACAATCCTTGTTAGAATCAATTATTTTGTTAGGTATTACAAAATAGCATTTTTCTAATAGTGTTAATCTCTCTACCTTTATTTGCTGGCATTTTTCTGTAAAAACAAGATAGCTCTTTCCTTCAATTACGGATACTATTTGACTACCCTGGAATACGGCTCTTACAGAAAGGCGTAACATATGCTTAATTAGATCCTCCTTAACTTACAATGATGTTAGGTCCTAATAAACCCATCTTAAATTGAAAACACTGTTAAGTCAAAAATGCATTTAATACATCTAACCTATAGAACATCATAGCTTAGTCCAGCCTATCTTAAATCTGCTCAGAGCACTTACATTAGCCTACATTTGGGCAAAAGCTTCTAACACAAAACCTATTTTATTTCTTGCCTTGTTGTGTAACTGAGGCCTAACCAAGTCTATTTTATAATTACATAGTGAATATCTCCTGCAATTTACTGAATACTGTACTGAAAGTGAAAAACAGAATAGCTATATGAGTACTCAAAGTACAGTTTCTACTGAATGTGTATCGCTTTTAACCATCAAAAAGTTAAAGTCACAAATCCAAACAGAAGTCAGGTCTGTACTTCTCTGTGTTACTCATTTCTCACCTGTTGTAGTCTATGAGCCAGACAGCCTACACAGGAGGCAGTTTCCCACATATGCATGCCATGTCTCACTCCAGGTCTGCCTGTCGGTGCCCTCGTGGAATATACTTCATTTCCTACCCACTTCTCTGTACTCCACTAGTTAGGCTGGCTTAGATATTATCTCCTACGGGAAACCATACCTGAAACTCCCAAAGCTAGGTTAAATACCTCTCCTACACAATGCCATGGTTCCTTGTGCTTCCTCTAATCACACCACACAACACCTGAGTACCTGTCCAGCTTTCCCACCAGAGTGTAAATTCCTCAGGAAATTCTGCACTAGCCTCATTTTCATCTGGGTGATACAATATAGGGTGTGGGTACACATTAAAAGCACTTAAATAAAATTTTCTGGTAAAATGAAGTTTGTGGCATTCTCCAATTGGAAAGCAGAAAAAGGGAAATACGGCTCAGATAATTTTCATTTTCTGAAAAATCCACTGCAATACACTGAGAGAGAAAAACAAAGCTAAAAGGCCTTTGAATGACTCAAGTCAATGCCTAGCTCTTTCCCCCCAATACCTACTAAGAACTTGAGATCTTAATTCCATAATATTAAAAACCTCAGGCTCTAAATGGAATAGAAAAGTTCAATTTCTTTTTCCATGAGCTTTAAGACCTTTGCTGTGACTTACATGGTTTCCCTCGGGATGCTCTTAGGTTTTTGTTTGTTTGTCTTAAGACAGGGTCTCACTCTGTCACCCAGGCTGGAGTGCAGTAGCATGACCTCAGCTCACTGCAACCTTGGCCTCCCAGGCATAAGCGATCCTCCCACTCAGCCTCTTGAGTAGCTGGAACCACAGGCCCACACCACCACAGTTGGCTAGTTTTTTGTATTTTTGGTAGAGACAGGATTTCACCATGTTGTCCAGGCTAGCCTTGAACTCCTGAGCTCCGGTGATCCACCTGCCTTGGCCTCCCAAAGTCCTGGGATTATAGGTGTGAGTCACCACACTCAACCAGCATACTCTTTTTAATGAATCTGTGACTTTGTGAGAAAACACGCTATAATAATTCAAAAGTATTAAAGCCTCCAAGTCAAAAGGAGTAAGACTGACTCTACCACAAAGGTGAAAAAAAATCAATACCTATTAGTTTGCATTTTCAAATATTAGAGAAGCTTAAGTGAATAGTCAGTAACAATTTAATCTATAAAGTAAGCTATTTTAAAGGGGTTATAAGACCTGCATATTTCTGAAACAAAAGATCAATAAGACAGCATTACCTAAACAATTTGTAAGGTTCCTAAAATTAAATAAATAAGAGTCTTTCTAAACTAGCTGCTTAAAATCACCTAAAATAATTAAGAATTCATTTTTTTCTTTTTTCTTCTTCTTTTTCTGAGACAGGCTCTCACTCTGTCACCCAGGCTACAATACAGTGGCATGAACATGGCTCACTTCAGCCTCAGGCTCAACCTCCCAGACTCAAGCGATTCTCCCACCTCAGCCTCCCAAATAGCTGGAACCAGAGGCATGAGCCAATTTTTTGTAGAGACTAGATCTTGCCATCTTGCCCAGGCTGGTCTCGAACTCCTGGGTGCAAACAATCCTCCCACCTCAGCCTCCCAAAGTGCTAGGATTATAGGCGTGAGCCACATACCTGGCTAGGATTATTTTCTGATCCCAAATCCTTAATAAAATAACATAAGCAAAAGATATACATTTACCTGCCATGGATAAAAAAGAGGAGTCTGATCCAAGGGAACCCTCAGGGGAGCAACGATGACCAGCTCAAACAGGAGCCCCAGAAGGAGAGGGACAACTCCAGCCAACAGCACTGCAACTATCAAAGTCTTCATGATCTATTAGGAAACAGGAGGCCACATCATTAAAGAGGGTCTTTCTGACTGAGCCAACTCTATTTCCATTTTGAGGTTTAAGATCTGATGCCTAACAGAGCAACTATAGTCATCCCGCAGTATCCAGTGGGACTGGTTTTAGGACCCTTGCAGATACAAAATCTGCAGGTGCTCAAGTCTCTTACACAAAAAGCACACAGGTGGCTGGGCTGTTTTTTCTCACAATCTAATTCTCAGGACTAGGTTTCTGTTTGTCCTAGAAAAGCCATCGACTAGCCAAAGCCCCTGCTCTAACAGTGGCCTACCCATACACAGGCTGATCTGTGAACCTTGAAGAGGACTGGTACCCGGGAAGGGCTCTGCACAATCCTAACGTAATAAAACTGATCAAACTGGCTCCCTCAAACAACACCATGGTCCAGTAGAACTTACTGTAGAGAGAGAGAGAGAGAGAGAGAGAGAGAGAGAGAGAGAGAGAGAGAGGGAGAGAGCGTGCGAGCGTGCACGCACGCACACGCATGCTCATGCACATGTATTAAAAAAAAAACATACTACTAACTGATCCAGTAAAAATTTAATATATATATACACTTTAAAAAATACAGATGGTGTTTTGCTTTGTTGCCCAGGCTGGTCTCAAACTCCTGAGCTCAAGCAGTCTTCCTACCTCCGCCTCCCAAAGTGCGGGGATTACAGGGATAAACCACTGTGTCTGGCCTGTTTTTCTTTTAAACCTCAAATATATCTGAATGTAGGACTTTGAACAAGAATGAACCAGAAAGCCACTATCTTAAAAAATATTCCTTCTAATTCAAAAAATCAACTATTGAAACAATATAAGGAAATAAATGTGCAAAAAAAAAAATTTAAGAAGATGACTGGAAAAGTATTCACTATTCCTAACAGACAAGATTAGTCTTTTATTACAAAAACGTACCATGAGAGACCACTCTTTAACCTTCTGGAAAATCACTCTGCGTCCCTGAGGCATCCATGCCACCAGCACCGTCACAGCCCTTATGGTTAGCCAGCAAACATAGAGACCACAAGCAGCTGTGTAGAGCTCGTGGATTTTGGCAGTCCCCGTCCAAAATGACATTAACCAACGGCCAGCAAATACTGAAAATAGAAAAGCTGATAAATGAGAATGTGGCTAGGTAAAGAGAATTGTAATCTTCATGTTGTTCTATTAGTATTTTCACATTAGGAAAAAGATACCACATTCAATATAGCAATGTCTTCAACAACAACAACAACAAAAAGACAAAAACCACAACATCTGAAGAGTACACGATTATTTGATGAAATCAACCAAAACAAAGTAAGTTAAATGGAGGCGAATACTCCTGGGAAAAGCGCTCTGATTTGTCATGCCAATTACTTGTTCTTTTAGGTCTAAAAAAGCTTTTGGGAGAATAGATGTTTTTGTTGTTTTTATCACCAAATGAAACTTTTGTGAAAATAATAGGACAAAAGAGGGGAATTTCTTCCTTTTATTTCTGATGTCAATACATTTAATATTTAGGAACATTGCAAATAATTTAGAGTAACTTTCTTCCAATTGGCTCATTCATCAAGACAGAAAACTACACTTATTTTGATAAGGAGTGGGCACAATAACATTCTAAAGCACAAAAATCAAACAATACTATATTAATTTTCTTTAAAAAAAAAAAAAAGAGTATCTGAATACACTGGAATGTGAAAAATGGATCTGAGAGCAGTTAAGGGAGTGCCTCATACAAAAAGTTGTTAGGAATAAACTCTACAGTGCCCCACAACAATCACTTGAGTACGATCATTTATATAATTTAGTAACTTACTTTACATTGATTACTTCTCAATAGGCTAGAGAGAACAGCAGGACCCAAATTTCCAGTGTAATTTTTCCTACTGATTGCCTTCCTAATATGGCACTATAATTTTTGTATTCCTAAAAGGAGCTACAGACCTAACTAAGGCGGGAGGATTGCTGGAGCACAATAGTTCAAGGCTGCAGTAAGCTATGATCACACCACTGCCCTCCAGACTGGGGAACAGAGCAGGACTCTGCCAAATAACTACATAAATAATCTTAATGATGCTATTAGCTGAAGGCTAGGACAAGCTCATACCTGGTAAAGTAAGGCAGATGAGGCTGGCAATCAGTAATGTTATACACATGAAGACAATCAACAGAAATATCTGCAAGGTAAAACATAAAGAGTGCATAAATAGTGAACATGTGCTCAATCTATTTTATCAAAGAATCAACATAATCTTCCCATTAAAAAGAAATCGCTTGTACTTGTGTTGCCAGGTTTCCTGCAATTCCACATAAATTTTTTATTTTCAGTAAAATTACCTATGATTTAGGCCAAAATGAAAATAAGTATCCATTCTCACATAATCAGATACACCCCACAAGTAAAAGGCAAATAATATGTTTTAATCAGAGAGCATAAAAATAAAACATTCAGTTTGTTATTAAAATAAAACACTACAAACTAAAAACATTCACCTTTTAATCAAACAACAGTGCTATCCAATTAGAATGTTCTATGATGACAGAAATGTCTAGATCTGCACTGCTCAAGGCAGTAGCCATTAAGCCACATGTGGCTGCTGAGCATTTGGTATGTGATTAGTGTAAATGAGTAATGGAATTTTTAATTTTATTTAATTTTAATTAAATTGAAATGTAAATAGCCATGTAAGCTCGTGCTCCTGTACTAAGAAGTTGGTATGGTGTGGCTGTGTCCCCACCCATATCTCACCTTGAACTGTAATAATCCCCACATGTCAAGGGCAGGGCCAAGTGAAGATAACTGAATCATGGGGCAGTTTCCCCCATACTGCTCTCATGGTAATGAATTGATCTCACCAGATCTGATGGTTTTTATACATGGGAGTCCCCCTGCACAAGCTCTGTTGCCTGCTGCCATGTAAGATGTGACTTTGCTCATCATTCACCTTCAGCCATGACTGTGAGGCCTCCCCAGCCAATGTGGATGCTATGAGGCAATTAAACCTCATTCCTTTATAAATTACCCAGTCTCAGGTATTTATTAGCAGTGTGAAAACAGACTAGTAACGGAAGTGCAGATAAAAAGGGATCACAAAGAGGAGGAAACCAGTTTCCCTGAGCAGAATGGCAACAACTGTGGCTTGCCTGCTACCTTAACAGGTTCATCTCCACAAGACCAGAAGGCAGAACTCTGGTGGGAAGCCTGAAAAGGACAGATGACAAAATCCAGGACTCTGAGGCTCCGTCAGCTCTAACTGCCTGAAAACTCATTTATTGATTCTGTCTCTAATCTGGCCAGAAAGTAACTCTTGCACAGGCCTTTTTTGTCTCTGGAGAGGTGAAATAGCTGAGTAAAGACCAGGGGGGAAAAAAAGGAGCTGACTATGAGGTCTGCTATTAAGAGATAAAGGAAAAGATGACCTTCATGTTTTCCTCAGGGTTATGCAGCAAAGTCCTCTAGAATAAGCCACCGAATCAGGAACAGAGATATGCCCTTCCAGGGGACAAAGGAGCAGAAGAACAATTCAGTGAGTACAGACACTTGCAGAGATGGTGCTCAAGGCACTCCATTATCTGGTTCCTGCCCATCCAAGAGCCTTATCTCCCACCACTCCTCTTGTCCCTCACCTCTTCCATGGCCCTTCATCTCTCCCCTTGTTCCTCACCACTCCTGGACATAGACCTCACCCTCTAAACATATTCAATTAGGTCACATGCAGTGGCTTACACCTGTAATCCAGCACTTTAGGACGCCCAGGCAGGTGGACTGCTTGAACTAAGAGTTTGAGAACAGCCTGGGCTACATAGCAAAACTCCGTTTCAACAAAAAATATAAAAATTGGCCAGGTGTAGTGGCATGCACCTGTGGTCCCAGCTAATTGGACAATTCAGGGTAGAAGAATCGCTTGAACCCAGGAGGTTAAGGCTACAGCGAGCCCTGATCGCAACACTGTACCCCAGCCTGGAAAACAAAGCAAGACCCTGTCTCAAAAACAAAACAAACAACACAACTCCCTTATCTGCAATTCCAAGCCTACCATGTCATGTGTCCTGGTCCTGATATATTCCTGGAATCCCCTTCCCACTTCCTTTTTTCTTACTCTCTCCTCAGCCTCTCAATGTTTAAGACAAGGCATCACCTATTCCAGGAAGATTCCTTTGGGCTCATATTAAGAACGAGTGGTTCTTGATTGAAGGAGTCACAGTATCCATTGTAAACACCCACCATTAGAACCCAAATCTGTCACTGCTTTTCTTATTTCTCTGAGTAGACTGTAAGCTCTTTCTGAGCAAAGATCACGTATGCTCTCTATATCCTCACGGACACTGAAAATATCAATCACAGACACTCAAGACATGTTTGCTGAATGACTGAATGGACATATGTCACCCACAGTAATCTACAAAGGTATAATGACTATTTTTACAAAAACAAATGAGAGTGTGAGAGGTTAAATAACCTAAGTTTTGTGGGTGGCCGGTTAACTGAATTGGTTAGAGCGTGGTGCTAATAACCTAAGTTTTTAAAATGATCTGACTCACAAGCCTAATTCATTATTAAAGGGCATTTAAAAATAACGGACTTGATATAAATGAAGGATGACTTCATTGTAATCACATAGCAGTCATCAGCTTACATTTCTGACAAAATTCTGAGTTGCACAAAGACTGATCACTTGCTAGTTAAAGAATATAGAATAGGTACCTTCTTAACCAGTATTGCCTTCAGTTTCCTCAGCTATAAACATGAAATTATTGCCTATACTTTGCAGTATTTGGGTGGAGATTAAATGTGACAACACCAAAGTGCCCATTCTAGCTCCTGACACATTGTTGAACTGTATCAATAAATAACATTAGTTTCTTATTTACTCTAGAGTCTTTTCCACTTAAATAGGGAGCAAGAGCCTAGGGAATCCCAACTCTGTATCTCTAAAATGTAATAAACTTACCTGATCATTTACATTACATAATGAGGGTAATAAAACGTGGAGCATGTCTACACAGAGGACAGGATGCTAACAGCACCAATTCTCAACAGCAATTAAAAAAAAAAAAAATCTCTATATCTGATTAAGTCTGCATAGTACCTACCCTGAGTGGAAAATTTAAAGGTCGGCGGTAAGGTTGAAAGCCAACAGGCCCTCCCTGCTGGAGTATGGCTTGATGGGCTGCATGCAGGCCTTCCCCCACCACAGGAATAGCGTTGTTATTTCGAGCATGTTGATTATTGTTGACTTGTTGATTTGCACTGTTCTCATTTTCTTCCTGGTCTCCCAATAAGTAAGAATGAAGATCCCTGTGCAAAAATCACATCAGTAACAAGTCCTCATTTCAAGTCAAAATAAAATGGCAGACATGACATTCATTTTCTTCATATTTACTACTAAGGGTAGAAAATGTACAGTGTAGAATCTGTACACCATATTATTACATTTTGGTCTAAATGTTCGTACCTGCTTTAAATGAAACCTTTCTAAATTTAACGTTAATTAACTTGTAGAATACACCATATCCCATAAATTCAACCTATTTTATGTTTTCTTCAGCCAGTATCTGAGAAGAAAATCACTAACTGAAAGAAAAAAGTACAACATATAAAATACTTACAAGTACACTTGTAAGCACAAAGTGTTAAGTACATACTTAGAATATATAACATTGTTAAGGATCTACAGGAGGAAGAGAAAAATTTCTTCTGTACAGATCTGCAACATGTAGCTACAAGCTATACATCTGTAAAACCTTCAAGCTATAAATCAGTTAAGACAAAAATGAGACTGGGAGAGAAAGCAGTTAGAGAAGGACAGATCTGTTCGATCAAGTATAAGCAAATCTGTACTTCATCTTTAAGATACCTACAAGATGCCAAATATTTTCTAAACAACTTTGAAAGATTCAACTTTTAAACAGAGTATATAAAGCTTGAAAAAAAAAATAAATGCACCATGTTCACTGAAAGACTGAGCAATCAAATCTGAGAAGAAGCCACTTACCAGATTATGAACACTAAATAAAGGTAAGTAGTTGGTTTACAGAAAGGTAAATTGGTTTGTTTATAATGTGCTAAAAAAAAAAAAAAAAACGCTTACTCCATGAAAGCTGGACCAGCAGCAAATCTCTGTAAGAGGGCAAAAATAGGCATACATTCTCCATGAAAGGATGGACAACAATAAGCAAAAAAAATTTTATTTAAAAGTATTATATCACTTGCATATATTACTATATTATCTCTTATTAAAACTAATTTCTCTTGAGTGGGCCATGGAATATACTTTTTCCAGAAAGGTTATTCAGTAATCACAAATGGCACGCATGTACAAGGAGTCAGCTGCCCATACTCACAGCAAGTATCCGGCAGTCACAGTCCACGCTCGCACCAGCCCCTTCAGCCACTGTCTTGTGTGTCCCTGTTCAAGTAATGCTGGTAAGACAACCTGAAGCAGAAGCAGCTCGAGAGACAGTTCACTCACTGGAGCATCACTGAAAAAGCCAGGATTTATAAGGTGAATTGTATTTTGCATATGACTATATTATATTAAAATATTTAATGGGATTACAACAAAACTCCTTGAGTCTAATAAACTTACTGTCTTTATTACCTCTCCTTTCTCTCTCCAACTCAGTGAGGCTTTCCCCGCAAACACCACCAAAACGCTTCTGACAAGGGTCATCAATGACCTTCATTTTGCCAAATAGATGGTTAGGTCTTGGTTCTCTCCTCATTTGCTTTATCAGTAGCAGGTTACACAAAAGGTCACTCCTTCCTTTTACACTTCATATCCAAACAGCTAAAAAATCCTTTTGACTGTACCGGAACAATATCCTAACATTTCTCATGGCCTCCACTGCTACCTCCCCTTCATCTCTGCCACCCTCACCTCTCACCAGATCATTGCATTAACCTCCCAGCTGGCTTCCCGCTTCTGCCCTAGCTACTCCAACCCAGTTTCCTCTCATCACAGCAGTCAGAATGATCCTCTTTAAACCAAAGTTAGATCACTCCTTTGCTCAAAGCTTTCCAAGAGCTCCTCAACTCACACAAGTACAAGCCAAAGTGCTTATGATGACCTACAAGGCTCTCTACAAGGTGGCTCTCCACGACATCTCTGGCTTCAGGGCCAATTACTTTGCCTTCCTCCTCCTACTGCACACAAACTGGCCTCCTTGCTGGTCCTCAAACAGACCTGGGCGTCACTGCGCCTACTTTCGGCAAGGATATTCCGCCTTCAGGGATCCACAGGCTCACTCTCTCATCAACTCCTTTAGGGCTTTCCTCAACTGCCGCCCCCTCAGGTCTTTATCAGTCACTCTTCCTAAACTGTAACCTCATCCTGCCCACTCTCCATCCCCTTATCCAACTTTAATTTTCCCTCATAGCACTTATGACCACTTGGCATCACTGTACATTTCATCTATTTTAATGTCTATCTCTAGCATTAAAATGTAAGCTCTACTAGAGCAGGATTTTTTCTTGATTCTGTTTTGTTCACTGTTACATCCCTAGTACTCTGAAAAGTAACCCGCATATAATGGGCTCTCAATTTTGTTTAATGGATGAATGAACTAAATACCACTATAGCACAAACAATCTGCTAATCTTCTAGGTATAACTGATCACCACAATGAGTTTATCCCAACAACATATAAAGCTCAACTTGTGTGTGTTTCCTGGTTCTCATTATGACTGGACCCTCCAAATCTATAAAAATCCTAAGTGTAGAAAAATAAAATTTTATTACAAAAAAGTAACATTTTAAAAGTCATAAACTGATGTTTCATTTTAAACTACTTACTGGCATTTTTTCTGCCATTTTAAACAATCAGGATATAAATACTTCCCAATTCTAATTTAACAAAATACAAATTTGAGATTTTATGGTGTGTACAATAAAACTTTTGTTTTTGACCAATCATGTTCCTATGCAAAGCATTAAGATCCATATAAGAGGCTAGACGCAGCATCTCACACCTGTAATCCCAGCACTTTGGGCGACCAAAGTAGAACGGCTGCTTGAGGGCGGGAATTCAAGACCAGCCTGGTCTTGAATAGTCAGAACCCGTCTCCACACACAAAAAAATTTTTAATTAAAAAAAAGAGAAAAAGACCTAAATAAGATATGACTTCTGCCATCTTGGATAAAACAATAAATACCTGCAAAGTAATGGAACAAATGCTATAAAAAAGATAAATATTGCAACATTGAAGAGAATTTTTTTTTTTTGAGACGGCGTTTCGCTCTTGTTGCCTAGGCTGGAGTGCAATGGCACAACCTTGGCTCACCGCAACTTGTGCCTCTCTGGCTCACGCAATTCGCCTGCCTGAGCCTCCCGACTAGTTGGGATTACAGGCATGCACCACTACGCCCAGCCAATCATGTATTTTTAGTAGAGATGGGGTTTCTCTATGTTGGTCAGGCTGGTCTCAAACTCCCAACCTCAGGTGATCCGCCCACCTCAGCCTCCCAAAGTGCTGGGATTATAGGCATGAGCCACCACGCCTGGCCTGAAGACAATTTTACAGTATGTAATGATGGCATGGTGGCTCATGCTTGCAATCCCAACACTTTGGGAGGCTGAGGCAGGCAGATGGTTCAAACTCAGAAGTTCAAGACCAGCCTGGGCCACATGGTGAAACCTGTTCTCCACAAAAAATACAAAAATGAGCCAGGTGTGGTGGCTTGCACCTGTAGTCTCAGCTACTCAGGATGCTGAAGTGGGAGGATCTCTTGAGCCGAGGAGATTGAGGCTGCAGTGAGCCTGATCACAACACTGCACTCCAGCCTGGGTGACAAAGCGAGAATCTTTCTCATAGAAAATAAAATTTTAAAACTTTAATGTGGATTTTAAAAAGAATATCATATGCTTGCCAGCCAAATGTGGACAAGAAAGTTATTGTAAACACAGAGAAAAAGATAAAGAATAGCTAAGTAAATCAGGGTAGCCTCAATGGTAGTATAGCACAATTAAAAGAATTCAAGTCAGTCAATGCTGAGGCAAGATACTGAAAAAGCAACAAGATTATGCCAAGCCTTGCATCTCATTCTAAACAGTGTAGATATCACATAGATTACAGAGGAAATGCTGACAACTTTTAAACAGAGGGCTAAAATAATCAAAGTTTTAGAAAATCTAGAGGCAGAGGTGTTGAGGATGAATGGAGAACAAGAGGAAGGCCTAAATTAAGTTAGTAAATCAAGCTGAATTAGTAAGAGATCTTAAAAAATTAGAATTGACAATACTTTAAAGATTGATTAGAAGTAAACTTGAAGTTGGGGAGAGATAGCATGGGGAGAAATGCCACATATAGGTGATGAGGAGGAAGGCAGCAAATCACACTGCCATGAGTGTACCTATGCAACAATCTTGCATGTTCTTCACATGTACCCCAAAACCTAAAATGCAATAAAAATAAAAATAATAATAATAGAAACAAAGCAAAAACTACAGATTCCAAGACAAAGTGGCTTAGGTATTTGATATGTAGTGGGGGATGGGGGGGAGGGGAAGGCGGAGAAAAATAGCAAAGCAACATTTACTTTGGAGTTTGAAGAAACTGATGGATCTTGCTTTCAATATGTTAAGGGTGTGACTTCTGAATGTGTTAACAACAGCTCTCAATAAATCTGTGTGCTAATTTAAAAAAAAAAAGAACATAATACATACTACTTGTGTAGCTAACAAACAAGTACATAAACAAATAAAAGAGCAAATATAAAAAAAAGAAGAAGTAAACTTGAGGAAGTAATCCAATTTGTCTGCAATTGGGATAATGACTGTGGAGATAATGTAAATCCCTAAAGAAAGAGCATATAGGATGAGTGTTGAGATTAGGTTTCCGGATGACTTAAGTTTTTTTGTATTTTGGGGTTTTTTTTGACGGAGCTTCACTCTTGTAACCCAGGCTGGAGTGCAATGGTGAGATCTCAGCTCACCACAACATCTGCCTCCCGGGTTCATGCGATTCCCCTGCTTCAGCCTCCCGAACAGTTGGAATTACAGGCATGCGCCACCACGTCCAGCTAATTTTTTTTTTTTTTTTTGTATTTTTAGCAGAGATAGGGTTTCTCCATGTTGGTCAGGCTGGTCTCATACTCCTGACCTCAGGTGATCTGCCCACCTTGGCCTCCCAAAGTGCTAGGATTACAGGTGTAAGTCATGGCGCCCTGCCTATACTTAGATTTTTAAAGCAAAAAATATTTTCCATCCACACACCTTGTACCCTATTTTTAATCCATAATTAAACGTGCAACTTTGGCTTCATTCCTTATAATGTGTTTCAAAATAAAGAGGATACTACTGAAACACTCTCATTAGGTATGGTAAAACATTTCAATGCTGTGCAAATGCATACTTTATGTGCAGGAAAAAAGTCTGTCTTTAGAAAACTTAACTACTAATGTTTATACGATCTAGAATAAGGCAAAATTTACGTAAAGTGGAAAAGTTCCAGAAAATTTTTTTAAAATTTAATTTTAAAAACAAAAATAAGGGTAGAATAAGGCAAAATTTAACTGTCAGGTGATTTGCAGTACACATAAGAAATGTTTTAAATGTTTACTGTAATCTGAATATCAAATCCCTAACAGAGATAAATTAGTAAAGGTATTCTGACTTTTTAAAACTTACCTGTAGAGCATGACATTATATGGAAGAAAATTAGGCAGCAGACTCTTAATTATACGTATAGGAAGCCAAAGCATCAGGAGGACAATGGAGCCAAAGACAATCTGCAGAAGGAAACAGGGTATGACACCACCATAAGAGTCAATCACTTCTGTGAGACACAGGCAGACTTCTGAGCATACTCAAGCAATATGCGGTCCAGGCCTGTAATTACTAAAGGACCAAGTGGTTCCCATTCTACACATTATCCTCGAGTTGCTTCATATAAAAATGTTTTCCTAAGATGGCTGCCCCTCTCCTTTTAAGGACCTACCATCTTGGACATAAATGCTAAAAAAGAAGTCACAAAGGATAAGCACCACATGCTACCTAACCAATGAGCTAGAAACTTAAAATGAAGGAGAATGCCTGCAACTTAATAAATCACTTGTAACCAGCTAAAAAATGGCCCCATGTTAATGGCTACAAAAGCTTTCAAAAGACACAATGTTACTTTTAGAATTTATCTTAGAAAAACTTAGATTTAGGGCCCAGCACAGTGGCTCACACCTGTAATCCCAGCACTTTGGGAGGCTAAGGCAGGTGGATCACAAGGTCAAGAGTTCGAGACCAGCCTGGCCAACATAGTGAAACCCTGTCTCTACTAAAAATACAAAAAAATTAGCTGAGTGTGGTGACGGACACCTGTAATCCCAGCTACTTGGGAGGCTGAGGAAGGAGAATCGCTTGAACCCGGGCGGCAGAGGTCGCAGTGAGCCAAGATTGCACCACTGCGCTCTAGCCTGGGCAGCAATAGAGTGAAACTCCACCTAAAAAAGAAAAAAAGAAAAAGAAAAACTCAGATTTAACTAGGTAATTTCTTCTTCCAGGTGGGGAAACTTTGACACGCTTCTGTTAAGAGTTTAATTTACAAGCCAGTAGGAAGTCTCCATTGCTTCAATGCAAATTAAATGTAATTCAGACAACCGTAATTTAGCAATCAATCATACCAGTGGTCCCCAACCTTTTTGGCACCAGGGACTGGTTTCATAGAAGACAGTTTTTCCATGGGGTTTTGAGATGAAACTGTTCTGTTTCAGATCATCAGGCATTAGAGTCTCATAACAAGCACACAACCTGGTCCCTCACACTCACAGTTCCCAACAGGGTTCACAGTCCTGTGAGAATCTAATGCCGAGGCTGATCTGACCTGCTGGCCCGCTGCTCACCTCCTGCTGTGCAGCCGTTTCCCAACAGGGCATGGGCCAGTACCAGGCCAAAATATGGGGGCTGGGGACCCCTGAATTACACTACTATAGAACAAGAAAGCATCTTCCTTTCAGTAAATATCTTTTTACTCATTTATACTAACAGAGTAACCAACAGCTATTTGACAACTGAATACTGTAGGCTTAAAGAAATATATTATTCAACATACCCTAGGAGCTCTCTTGAGAAATGGGGGGAAAAAAAAAAAACACTAAAGAAAACTACAGGGTAGCAAACTTTATTCAAAAAAACAATGGAAACATCTTCTTACCACTGACAAAATAAATCTTCGGAGATGCCTATATATTGGCAAATGGATCATTTCCTGTACTGGATTGAAATCTGGATCATTCAAATTCCTGAGAAACCACAGGACACCAGGTCGAAGTACCTGCAAATACATTTTAAATACTGTAAATATTCACCAATGTCTTCAAATTCTATATATGAGCTAAAACATTAACAGAAAGATACGCACTTAAAATTATTCTGGTATCTAAAATGGGCCCCAGAAAGTATATATGGTATTCCTAGGAAAAAAAATTCCTGAACCAGAATCTTTATGAAAACTACCATGTCTGATGATGTCCTTTGACATCATTCACTGAAAAAAAAAACACCGTGTCCAATGTGTCAAGAAATCTAGACCTCTGAGATGAAAAATAAATGAACACAACCATTACTATAGTAAAAGGGTTATGTTGCAATTTATAAATGTCCTAAATAGAAGATCTGATTTCAGTCTTACACTTCCACAGAGGGATTATTTTTTAAAAACCCTACAGCCTCCGAATCTTCATTTTACTATCTATACCTTCCCCCTGTGAATGAAAATCATCACCCAAGATGCTGTAGGTGATGGGGTCAAAGAGGAGTCTGGGTATTAGTCCTATGTGGTCTAAGCTCACTGAACTATTAACACATCTAATCTGCCCAAACTTCTGTTCTCCACTTTTTTTTTTTTTTTTTTTTTTTTTTTTTTTTTTTAGAGATGAGGTCTCGCTATGTTGGCCAGGCTGCAGTGCAGTGGTTATTCACAGGCGCAATACCACTACTGATCAGCACGGGAGTTTCAACCTGCTCCGTTTCCCACCTGGGCCAGTTCACCCCTCCTTAGTGTTCTCCATCTTCTAAACAAGGGAGTTACAATACATTATTTCTAAGGTTCTGCCGAAGTTCCAAATTTTATATCAACAAAACCATCACACTGATAAAATGAAAAAAAAAATCATTATAAAACATTTTATTCACTTAATGAAGTAATTTGGAGTTCACATATAATTTCATTTTTAAGAAATACGTTTCTGCAGTTGCTTTAGTTCTCAATCATTTCTTTTCTTTCTTTTTAATTGATAGGGTCTCGCTATGTTGCCCAGGCTGGAGTGCAGTGGCTATTCACCATTGCGATCCCACTACTGATCAGAACGGGAGTTTTGACCTGCTCCGTTTCTGACCTGGGCTGGTTCATCCCTCCTTTGGCAACCTGGTGGTCCCCGGCTCCCGGGAGGGCACCATATTGATGCCGAACTTGGTGTGGACACCCAATTGGCATAGTGCACTACAGCCCAGAACTCCTAGGCCCAAGCAATTCTCCCACCTCGGCCTCCCCAGTAGCTGGGACTACAGGCACGTGTCACAGCACCTAGCTCAATCGTTTGTTTCAAAGAAAGAGTGAAAGTTTCAGTTACCAAGAGAATTTACTGAACATACTGGATGATTCCGGAGAATGCTTTGGCCCCTGAACCCTCTTCCTCTTCCTCAAATCTTGCAAAGAGCAAAGCACACCAAGAACAGCATTCAGCCTTTATGCTTTTGCGGTCCATTCCCACTGGAATTGTCAACCTGCTCCTCCACACCCTGCACATCTCCATCACCAGTCTGCATGTAAGCTGACTTTTTCAATACTGTATTCATTTTCAGGCTGTAATATTGAGGAACTGTGCCTTTGTTTCCCACTGATATCCCAGAAGACAGTATAGTGTCCAGCACACAGTGAACATTCAGTATTTAGGGAATGACTGAGCTTGAGATGTACACTAATAAAAATTCATCTGCTTTCGTCATCTCCAAATCAGTAAAAACCAGATTCCAAAAATAGGATTAATAAAGGTACCAGGCCAGGTGCAGTGGCTCACACCTGTAATCCCAGCACTTTGCGAGGCCGAAGTGGGCGGATCATTTGAGGTCAGGAGTTCAAGACCAGCCTGGCCAGCATGGTGAAACACTATCTCTGCTAAAAATACAAAAATTAGCTGGGCGTGGTGGCGGGCACCTGTAGTCCCAGCTACTTAGGAGGCTGAGGCAGGAGAATCACTTGAACTCAGAAGGCAAGGGTTGCAGCGAGCCAAGATCATGGCACTGCATTCCAGCCTGAGCAACAGAGGAAGACTCAGTATCAAAAATAAATAAATTAATTAAATAAATAAAGGTGCCCATCAGGCCAGTGAATTGGAATAATAAAGAACCCTCTATAATTCTATACTTAAGGTACCTAAATCAAAACCATTTTAAATGTTCAATCCTGCAAAGCCAAATTCTTTTGGTTACTTCCAGCATTACATTTCCTTGAAGTCTAAGACATAATTCACATCATACAAAATTCCAAGAGTCTGTATTAGAGGATGGCTAAAATACATATGAAGTATAATAAAATGAGTACTATTACTTTTTTCCTCAGTTGAATCATCTTTCCAACTCAGAAAGATTAAAACTTGCCAATTATGAAGACAACTGAAACAGTTTAAAGCAATCAAGTCAAAGTCCCCTATAAATTATTCCCTCTCAGAATAAAATACTAGAGAATATGATTTAGTTAGGAAATCATCATAGCCTTTGAGACATGACTGGCAGTAAATGCAAAAGTCCTTTTTATAAATGTACAGCATCAGCATTTCCCTGTAGACTTACCTCTCTCAGTAATAGAATGAAGGACGCAAAGTAGAAGACATACACCATTCCCACTAGCCAATGCAGAAACATGGTAGTACCTGGAGCAGACTGAAAGCTCAGTTCTCGATCTTTCAGAGTAGCATCAAACATTTCCTGAGCCAAAAGAGGACAGGTAAGAGATGTGTGCCCCCTACATTTGCAAAGTTAACATTTCCATCTTCTAGGAAATAAATAATCAATATGCATGCGAGGAACGATTTCCAGAAATGCTATTTATTTATGTCATTTCATGGTGTCATAGAGCTATATACAAGACTGGCTACTGCTTCAGATATAAGGAATGATAAACCAATTGATAAAAGCTTTATTAAATTGATTCTATTAAAGAACTATTTTTTATGAATGTAAAACCTTCTTTTCTTGGTTACAGGTCTGCATTCTCAACAAGTTTTAAAAGTAAGGTATGGGAGGGTAAATGTTATCTCAGAACCAAAGGCAGCTTTTCTACACATAAAATATTTTTGAAACAATCAAGAACTGCTTATCCCTAACAGCAATTAAAGAGTATAATCAAGACTGAGCATCTTAGTTAAACCAAATGATTAGAGTGGAATTTATTACTACAAAGATAGTTTCCTTATCAAATTATTCTCTATGTATATATCTTAGCATTATCTATAAAAATTTGAGAGCGCAAAGTGGGCAATAAAATTCTCCACTAGTTATTAGAAAGATTTCAGCCAAAATATCCTGACATAAAAAATTTGCACAAAGCCTCAAAAAACTCAGGTACTCTAGAAAAATTAACATTAAGATTCTATACTAATACACTTGTCAAAAGAATAGGCAAATTATCAAATATTTACTTTCCTTTAAAAAGAACCTATACTGAAGACTTCCTTTTCTGAAGCTTTGAAATTATGCTATTATACAATAATGAATACTCAACTTACCAAGGAACAGATATCCAGCCACCAACCACAAATGAGAGGGAATACTCCAATTTCTACCACCACTAACAAAGAGACCTTAAGTGAAAATAAAGGTCATCAGTATCACCCAAGTGTAGGAGAAATCATTTCCAATCTTAAGTTATAACAGGAATTACCTTAACAACAATATAGCAGACTCCTAGTAAGCGACGAGACCTATGAAATTTCACAAGGGTTGCCAAGCCCTACAGCATCTAGTTAAGGAAAAATTGAGTAAAGGTACAATGAAACAGGCAACTACTTAGTATTTTTTGACAGAATTAATTTATTTCACATTTTGTCTACACTGACCCTTACCGCAAATACCTACAACTCTCACTAAGAGAACAAGGAGAGAGACAAGTTTCACCATTAATGAAGAGTTCTTTGGCATGAATAAGATTACTGAATACCCAAGTTGGTTCATTAAAGGATACATGACAAATTATCAGTGTTATTGCTAGAAGTATATACCCAACTATGGTGGTAATTAGGCCTTCAAAATGAGATGCTTGGACCTGGAAATAAAAAAAAGTAAAAACAAAATTTAATTTTACCACATGTCCTACACCCCAGTTTTCCCATATTAAACAATCCAAATGAATAAAAGTGAACTGTCTAGACAATTTGTAACTAAAAAACAACTGTAAAATCCCCTTTGGATGACATCTCTGAAAATCAGATTCTCTCACTGTTATATATTTCTAACAAATGAAGAAAAAATAACACTTTACCCAAGGAGACAAAATAAAAGTAGAGTGAATTAAATTTTACAAAAACAAGAGCACTGTAATACATCAGCCTGCCCTTTATTCTCACTCTAAAGCAGATTTGCTAAAGACTAACCACTGAAAGCAGGAGCATACTGCTCAAGTCGCCCACCAGCTTGGTGATATCCCAGCCACCTCATTTCCTACCACTAGAAATAACTGTTCAAGTTTCCCTTGCTCTGCAAATCTGTTCCATTTTCAACTTACAGACAGTAAGAATTCTGAAAGTAACAATGCCTATTGGTATTTTTTGGTTCCCAAGTTTTAGACAGCAAGTGGCAATAGCTTGGAAAGTCAAAATTTTTCAAAACACTGATCTGAACCTTCTAAGTTCTTGCATTCGACTAGTGATAATCAGAGGTGTACTAAATACTATAACACTTCAGAATGTGATCTCTCTGGTCTCACATATACAAACTGAGCAGATGATCCCAGATAGTCAACTCTTCCTTAAAAGACTGAATTATTCTAGGGCCTGAAGAGAAGTAATAATCCTTCCAAAATTTATTTACCTCTGAAAAATAATAATAAAATGTCAAAATTAAGCACTCTAGAAAACACTAAAACCCATCATTCCAATAGTCTACCCTTTTAAACTTGACTGATACATTGTTACTTTTCTAAATTCAGCAGGGGGCACCTGGGGAAAGGGAAAGAGAATATACAAGTTCATGAGATGAATGGAAAATCAGCTTGTGTAAAACTTTCCTATAGTATGCCTCAGGCCCACCCAGCTGAATGGATTTTAGAGCACATTTTCATTAGTTAGCGACATGACCACTATCTCTTGAGCCACTGTTATTTTTTTTTTTTTTTTTAAAGAGTAAGACAGTATTGGCTAACTATTCCCTTGCATAATGCCAATTGAGAAATGAAGTAACTCTTTAGAATACTATTTGATTATCTGATTAATATTTGATTAATAAATAATCAAATTTGGGAGTAATGAATGAAAGTAAGTTTGTAAAAGTATTATACTCACATGTTCTTCAAATCCCAAACCAACAAGGGAGAAATGACCAATATGGTAAGGGCAAAATGCTAAAAGGGGGGGAAAATTCAATAAAAACGTCAACATCAGAACAATGAACACTCCTACTACAATCCCCCACTAAAAGGAATGAGGGCTTCTTGGAGAAATGAAAGATTCCAGAACTAGGCTAAAAATATACTGCCTAGGACATTCTCTGTAACTAGAGAACAACAAAGTTATTAAGGTCTAATCGGGCCATGCCAAAACAACACAGAAACCACTGTGAAAACAGGCCTGAGAGGATAATATGAGCATCAAAAAAGAATAACGACCAAAACTGATGGAAAAACACTGAACATATACAAATCCATGAGCTTATGATGCTCAAGAAAGGAAAAGCACAAAATTATAATAATCATGAAAAGAGAAAAGGCAACATCAAAGAACAGTTTCATGTTTTGGAAGCACTTAGCACACCAATGGGAGTAGTTAATGTACCAATTCCTTGTTCTGAAAACTAAAATTAAGGGGGAAAAATATGAGCATCTGTCCTACTTGTCCTGGACAAACAGGTTCGGGTTGACCAAAGAGATCCAAATTGATAAGAATTTCTTCTTCTTTATGGAAAAGCCAGTCAATAAATGTAAAAAAATTGACAATTTAAAAATCACCATTTTGCCACCCTTAATGAAGTAAATGATTCTGGCAAGAATCATCACGAGCTAATAAAAATCATTAAGTGGAAGGTTGATAGAGCACTATAAGACACAAAAATATCACTCCCAACAGACTACTTTCTAATGGTAAAGGAAAAAATAAAACCTAAGATTAGAGGCTCAGGTTAATATCACCTGAATCCAGTGATAAAAGTGGACAATCCAATACCATGTACCTCAGCTCCTCACAAATCATATTAATAGGCACAGTGTGACCAGTGAACAATTTGTCCCAGATGTATCAAACCTGAATCTAATAAGGCCCTTTGATCTGACTTCAGGTTTAAGAGAAATATGGGAGACAAAGGATAAAGGCAGAGGATATCCAGGAAGCAGATGGACAGGAGGAAGTTAACCTAAACCCAGCAACGAATCAATGGCCAAATAGGGTGGGTTGGGGGAAGCAAAGAGAAGAGTACTCTAGATTAAAAGACTGACAACTTGGGACTTAACAACTAAAAGTAATATGTGCACCTTATTTGGATCTTCATTAAAATAAACCAATGCAAAATGGTATCTAAAGGGACAACCCAGAAATTTTAAATATGATGGATTATTAGGAAATATTAAAGAAATTCTAGTAATTTTGTAAGGTGAAATAACGGCATTATGGCTAAGTAAGAAAATTTAAAATCTTTATTGAGAATTTTTACAGTCTTCTTTTTCCTCAAGTCTTTCTGGCCAAATTTTACTTCATTCTTAATAATAAAATATAGTTGTCTTTTCTTTATGGTAGAAATAACAGCATAATAGATTACTAGGGAAGTGGGGAACTCAATCATGAAGGCAGAAATCAGAGTGAACCTACTAGGGATCTGGCTTCTAACCCTTTCTCAGTATTCCATGGTAGTAATCTTTTTTTTTTTTTTTTTTTTTTTTTGAGACAGTGTCTCACTCTGTCACCCAGGCTGAAGTGCAGTGGTGTGATCTTGGCTCACTACAACCTCTACTTCCTGGGTTCAAGCAATTCTCTGCCTCAGCCTCCCAAGTAGCTGGGGTTACAGGCACCCGCCACCATGCCCGGCTAATATTTTGTATTTTTAGTAGAGACAGGGTTTCACCATCTTGGCTGGTCTTGAACTCCTGACCTTGTGATCCACCCACCTCGGCCTCCCAAAGTGCTAGGATTACAAGCATGACTCACTGCACCCGGCTGAATCTTTCTGAACATGTATCCTCAATATGTTTAAATTCATTTACAAATTACATATATATATATATATATATATATGTATTAGTTTACTAACATACTGTGTGTACTATAAAGCATAAGAAATTTTAAAAGGCAAAAAGAAAAAATTGTATGTTGAATTTTGCCTATTTTGTTCTCATATCCCAGTCTGAAGATGACTCAACTAGGCCCTTGGGAGGGCCAAGTTTTAACTCTATTTGCAGATGTATTAAATAATTATTAACCTTAAATACCAGGTGCAACAATTAATTTCCATCCCATTATACACAAACTAACGGAAAGGCATCCTGAAATTAAGGATAGTTTCTCAAGATCGTCGCCTTCTGCAGGAAGACCAGAGCTTGGTCAGATTACATTTCTGCAAAGCATATAACTACAAGAGCCAAAAAACTGCCTGTAGAAAACTTCAAGCAGAGCAACCCATGCAGGAAAAAAACATGAGGGTGTTTAATCCCAATGATTAAAAGAAAAAGTATGTTCCTAATGGAAGAAAACTTACTTTATTTCAAAAGATCCTAACTATGTAATAAAACATAAGTTTACTAAGAAATTTTTTTTCACAGTACAAGCTCAGGAGCTTATTAGAAAAAACTTTACTTAGATTTGATTTCTATAAATGAGAGTTCTTATTTGTATAATTCATGTTTTAAATGTGACCTGTTTCTCCAAACATCAATTTAGCATTAAGATTTTCTGCAAGAGTAAAGACTTAAATCTGTAATTTTTTCTCTCAAAAAAATAAAAATAAAGTCAAGATCAAACAGTTTCACAGTCTATATATGAATTATTTTACCTAATGAAAAATAAGCGCAGAATAACATACAGACACCCCCATATGCAAGCAGAACGAAGAATGAGCTTCCTATTAAATTTGCACCTTTGTGAGTGTCTACTAAAAATTAAGAAATCAATGCAGGTTATGCAAAATACTTTGTTAGCAAAATACAAATCAATTTCCCTTTGTCTTTTACAGATAATATACAGAAATCAATTTTTTGTCTCATCCTCAGTCCAAACATTCAAAGCCCCTTAGACCACATGGCTTCTTATTAAAGACATCTGCTTTACAGGTCACAATGTAGTCCCCAACAGAGCAAATAACTTGGAATTTGGTGGAAGAAGCCTGGAGAAATCTCTACTCAACCTCTTCAGCAGAGCTGAGGGGTAAATCACAGGTACTAAGGAAGGAATTGTTCATAGATTATCCCTATATAGAGATATGCTGCCTGAGGTCTCAGACACAAATCATAGGACCCCTAACAATAACCCCATTCTATCAGACTCTACCTCCTCATCCCTAAAAGATACAGAAACTGAACTCTAAGGCCTTGATTTACTCAATTTAGTTTTCCTTACCTCTTCTGGAAAGGAGAGAAACCTCATCAACAGTGTTTCCTCAACCTCACCTTTCTTTCTCCAATACTCCCAATGGGAGGGACTATTGTGTGTTGTCACAGAATCTTCACAGCTGCCCTCACAGAAGTATTTGGAAGTGATTTTGCATGTGCTGGAATCTGGTTCTAAGGGGCACTCACATTTGGGGAAGGCTTACTGCCTTCCCACAAGTCTACATCCAGCTCTGATAACAGCTCCCAAGTCAAGGTCTCTAGAAGGCCTTGGTCAGGAATTTGACAGATGAAAACAAGATCTTCTGCCACAGGGAAGAGCACACAGACAATCAGCACAAAACTAATTTCAGAAGTAGAAAACTGTATATTCTCAAGTCAGTCTAAAACCAGATTCTACAAAAAAAGACACAAACGCCCAACAGAAGCAGAGACAGGTAGGTAACTGCAGTCACTACTGCTTGAGAAAGTATCTGTCTGTCTGGGGCCCATCTACACAGGAGTCCTATATGAAACTATTTTCATATACCACTTAGTATTTATTCCTATGCAAAAAAATTAAAAAATTAAAAATAAACCTATAATAAGGCTCCTACAAAACTAAATTCCTACCGTAATATTATTTAAAAAAGCACAAACACAACTTACCAAAAACAAGAATGAACAGTGTATTTAAAGATACCACCCAGAAGACATGTTCCTAAAGGAAAAAAGCATCAATAATGCATATTGAATTCATATTTAACATATGTTTAACTGGACTACTCCACTTATTTAGCTATAGCCAAATACTAAAATTAGCTAAGACTGAAATTTTCCCTCTATTGTTTTGGGATTTCAATCTAGAAATATGTAACTTTCATTTTTCATTAACTCAACTAAGCCTAATAAAACTCAAAGTTCAAAATATTACATGTAGAAAAAACAAATTCATTTATAAACATTTCCTTTTTAGAAATAATCTATGGCAAATTACACAGATGTTAATAATACTGGATTTCATTTAAATTAAATGACACTGAAAAATTCCAAATGGAGAAAAATTTGAAAGCCAAATTAATTATAAACATCATGTTAATGTCAACTGCAGTGTTTCTTTCAATGTCCACTCTGCTTTCGGGACACCTGCAGGGTCACTACTGCCTGGCTACCTCCCCTTTGGAAAACTCTAGCTTATTCTCCTCTGGTCTCTCCACTCCCTATGTTGCCCTGGCTTTCTTTGTCCTGTCTCACCTAACCATCTGGTTCCCCTCTCACAGTTACGTACTGCCACGTCTGTGACAGCTATCTGCCTATTCCTTCAGCCATGTTACACACACTTTATGCCCTATGCTGACACTGACCAGACTGTCCATGTCAATTCATTCATGCCCACAACCTTCCCCAACCATCAAGTTAAAGGATCCTTCCAGAGAGCTTTTGTTTAAAGATTTCTCTGTTCAGGTCCCCTAATTGTCTACAAATCCAATCAGCTAGAAGGGTGATTAGTTTGTAAATGACTACTACATTTCTTCTCACTATGTTGGCTCAATTTTTCCAACCTCTCTGCCTTCATGGCTCCTAAATTTTCTCTCTCCCCAACATTTTTTATGCTTCAACATCTAAGTTAATCTTCGCTGAAAATTTCCTGCTGACAAACTCTGTTCCACTAAGAAACGCCTAATCAAGCCCTCTTTTGTGCCCCTCTTGTGTCCTATGCACACTTTCTGTCACTGAGTCTAACACATACCTCCAAAACATTCCTTGTTTATGTGTTCATTTCTCTCTACCACACTATAGAGCAACTTTGAAAACAGGGACTCTGTTTCATTCATCACTGAATTCCCCAGTGCCTATCACAATAGCTGGCACACTATAGGTATTAAATATTTTTTACTGAATGAATTCACCCTGTGAAAGGTTTTTCCAATAACTCACATGGGTTTGAGTCAACACCACTACCTCAATGACTTCTGTCCTTCATTTATGAGGAACTGATGGGGTAAGAAATATAAATTGGTATGTGGCCATATAATGCTTTCTATACTGACTGTGATCAAACCATGGCTAGACACTCATTAATATCACATTCCCACAAAACTGTGGAATTATATCAGGTATGTTCCTAAAAATCCACACACTGTTAAATTCAACATCCTCATCTGCAGCCAGCCTGAAGAGAAGGCCAACACTGAGGACAGCAAAGGAGATCGACAGAGATATCTGGGACTCTGATGACATTGTTAGGCCTATAGATCAAGCAACCCTCAAGCCCATTTTTCCGCTGGACTTCCTGTTAAATTAATGTCTCAACCAGTAGAGCTTCTGCTACCTGCAAGAACAAGTCTTCTTTAAAGAACAAGTTCTTTAAAGAACTGCTCCTCACCTTAGAGTTGCAATCTTTACTAATAAGGCAGAGTTCCTAGGTAAAGACAGGTGGTGTTCAGCAAACAGGAAAACCTAACATCAGCCTGGGGGCCTTTCACTGTGAAACTATGCAAAACTGCTTTGCTTCCACCAGTACAGGCAATAAACACTGCAAAATGAAACTTTAAAAGAAGACCAAGTTCTTTTTAACTACCATTAACTCTGGAGTTTATTTTCTTTGCTAAAAATCAAATATTTAATAATTTTTTAAAAATAGTTATTGCTTATATGCTTTTTCAGTATTTTCAGCACACAAAACATATAATCTTCAACATATAAAGTAAGCAAAAGCCAAAGGGCATCTAGACCTTCACCACATACTAGAAATGTGAAGTTTCCAAATCACTAAGATAACTCCAATTCTGTTATTAAAAAGAATTAGTTTTACTTACCAGAAAAACTAGTGATCCATCAAGTCCTAGCATCTAAAATAAACAAAAATGATATGCATTAACTCAAGATGCAACAGAATTTTCTAATTTATGAAAAAAAAACCACATTTTCTTTCAACATCTTTACACATAGTCCTCCATCCACTACTTCCCAATACCTCCTATCATTTTCAGAAAATAAAAAAATTTGTTTATGAGAGTTTTATATTTTGGGTCTCCTTTTATTCAAAACTATGAGATTTATAAAGTCTAAAAAAATTCCATCTTGGATTTGTTACGGAAGATATAGAGCTAATCAAGACTTCATAATACAACTGTATTATTTTGTCAACTAAAGCATGAAAATACTACTTAAATTTAAATAGTTACTTTGTTTTTCAAAAGTCCACAATTTTAGGCAAAACATTTTGTAAATGGAGCAAGGTTTTGTAAGATACAAAAAAAGCCACAAACATCACAATAGTTTCACCACAAAAAGTATATGACTTAACTTTCTCTAGGAATGAAAATTCTGGTAACTTTTCATCAACTGTAACTATAAAGTTAGTGTATACATCTAAATATATCAAAGTTTAAAATATATTTTAGGATTAAAACACCAGGATACGTGACAGAAAAAGGTCGTACTCTTTCCCATGTAAGCTCTTCAGCAGCTCGGTCCCATTCTAAAGCATTCCAGTTCATGTCATCTGAAAATATAATTGCAATTTAAAGGTTACTGATGGAACTTGAACTAAAAATAATAATTAATAAAAAATAGTAAAATGCACTAAAAATAGTAAAATTTAGTAGTTTGTAAGCTGTTGTTCAGAAGCTAAGCCACATTTCCATACTGAGTATTTGCTTGTCAGGGAACAAATAAGAATTAAAACATACATATAAATAAATAATACATATAAAAGAAGGTAATCCTAGATTGAGATAAAAGCTAGAAAAGGAATAAATAGGGTTATGTGAAAGAGAGGAATTCAATAGCTCTAAGTCAGGAAAGAATCTGGCAGATATGAGAAAAGTAAGGAAGCCAGGGGACTAGGACATTCTGAATGACGATGAGGGTAGTAGACAGACAGAAATCAGATCAACAGGAACGTGGAGTCTGGATTTTATTATTTAGTAATATAATGGGAAAATTACTACAAGATTTAAAGGCAGCAGAGTAATATGAACTATGTGGAGCAAGAATGGAAGGAGAAAGAATAGTTAGGAGCTACTATATTAGATCAAGAGAGAGAAATAATGGCCAGGCCCTAGGGTAGCAGCAGACTGCATTCTTAGAGCCTCTGACCACTCCTGCAAAGGCCCCCGGTTCCCATTACACAAGTCACTTTCTCTCATCCTTCAGAGGTCTCAGCTCAAATATAACATACTCTGAGCTATCTGGGAAACCTTATTTAAAATAGGTCTAGGCGAGGCACAATGGCTCATGCCTGTAATCCTAGCACTTTGGGAGGCCGAGGCAGGAGTATCACTTGAGCCCAGGAGTTTAAGACCAGCCAGGACAACAGGAAGAATTCATCTTTACAAAAAAAAAAAAATTAGCTGGGCATGTTGCACACACCCGTAGTCCGGGCTACTTGGAACTGAGGTGGGAGGATCGCTTGAGCCCAAAAGGTCAAGGCTATAGTGAGCTGGGTTCGTGCCATTGTACTCCAGCCTGGTGACAGAGCAAAACCTTGTCTCAAAAAAATTAAATAGATCCCTCCCCAACAGCATCCTCAGAGCAACATGCACAACACTTATCACGACATGTATTTGCTACTTCTTCACTAAACCAGAAACTTTGGGAATGCAGCAGCGTAATGTTTTGGTCACAGTTATATCCTTAGTGTCTAACATTGCCTAACACAAAGAGACACTCAAATATCAGGCATGTCAAGTAGACCCAGAGACAGTGCAAAGCTTGACAGGAAAACTGGTGGGAGGGAGGGAAGGAAGTGAGTGACCAACAGCTGACGGGCAGACCCTGTCCTTGGCCTTTTTTTTTTGAAGATGGAGTCCTGTTCTGTCACGCAGGCTGGAGGGCAGTGGCGAGATCTCGGCTCCCTGCAACATCCACTTGCTGGGTTCAAGAGATTCTCCTGTCTCAGCCTCCCAAATATCTGGGATTACAGGCACACACCACCACACTCAGATATTTTTTGTATGTTTAATAGAGATGGGGCTTTGCCATGTTGGCTGAGCTGGTCTTGAACTCCTGACCTCAGGTGATCTACCTGCCTCCTGTCTTGAATCTCCTTTTACATTCTAGAGTTAACACTACTAGAACATGAGACATTTGATTTCTTTAGATGGCGCCTTGTCTTCAGTATACACTTCAAGATTCTTTTTCAATTTTAAAAGTTGCACTGACTCAAGGAACATGGAAAGAGAAAAGCAAATAAATGAGGTAAATCTGTATCAAAGTCCTTTATTTTCAAAAAAGTAGTACCTAATCCAACTTAAAAAATAACTTCCTCCTATCTATCCTATAAAAAAAGTCCTGTGTAAAAAGGATTTTAAAACACAAAACATGCCATTTCATAGAAAAAAAACATATTTATGCATATGTACTTCCATAAATGCCAGTGTGCCAAAATAAAGTAAAAATAAGTTAAAATTTCAGAACATTAAAATTTGGAAATGCCAGTTCTTTTCCTCTATGCAAATTGAGAGCAGATTTGCAGTGCTGAAGAAAGAGGACATACAAGCAGCCATTACCCTGAGCTCCATTATTAGCATCTGCCACATCTTCCACACCAGCATCATCTTCCTCCTCATTCTCCTCCTCCTCCTCTTCTGCCTGGTCATCCTGGGCCTCAGGGTTTTCCCCCACCACTGCATTCTCAGCTGGTGGGTTAGCAGGCTGATCAGCAGCAACATTTTCTGCACCATTTCCTCCTGCTGGAACCTAAAAATCACAGAAAAGTCCAGAAATTTAGATCTACTTCTCTGTTTTGCTGTTTCCAAATTACATTATTCTTACATTAAAAAAAAAAAAAAAAAATCAGACCAGGTATAGTGGCTCATGCCTGTAATCCCAGCACTTTGGAAGGCTGAGGCAGGCGGACTGCTTGAGCCCAGGAGTTCGAGACCAGCCTGGGCAGCACAACAAGACCCTGCCTCTACATAAAATTTAAAAGTTAGCCAGGCATGGTGGTTTGTGCCTGTAGTCCCAGTTACTCAGGAGGCCGAGGTAGGAGGATCTCTTGAGCCCGGAGGTTGTGAGGCTGCAGTGAGGTATCATCATGCCACTGCACTCCAGCCTGAGTGACAGAGCAAGACCCAATCTCAAAAACCCAAAACAAACAAAAAAACTAGAAAACAAATATAAACTCTAATAAATTTTTTTTAAAAAAGAAAATCTTTCAAAGATATCTTTTTTAAATGTATCCAATGTGCGATCAATTTTAGTATATAAGAACATAACCTCGCTTCATGTACATATTTACTTGGTATAGTTAAGGGATCAACAGTTCACAAAGCATCACAGAAAATGGTTAAGAAATCTAGCTCTCTTAAAAATAACCTTTTTATAAAATGTCTTTTGTCTTTACTGACAACATCAGGGATGAAAATACACTTTTTAAAAACCTTATATATATGTACATAAAGAATTGTTTTATATATACATACATATATAAAATTCTCTGTTATCAGGAAATGTTTTCAAATTTCTGCTCAGTGGGTAAGACTGTGCATATGGACTTTAGTATAGCCCCTAATGCTGTTTCCAATCCAGCTAGAAAATTAAGAGGCAAAATCATAATATCACTTGCTTGATTTTTCACATCTCTCTTAATCTTCACCCAAACCTTTCCACTGCCCTTCTTTGTAATAACAAATGAGTTATGAGGGACATGGAAGTCAAGAGTTTGAGTCTTAGTGAGAGACAATAATTTCCATGACCTACCTAAATAAATTTTGGGGTAGGGGAGTTACCTCATTTTGGTGATGTCCTGCAGCATTGAAGGGTGGAGCAGCATGCTCCAACCAAATTGGTGCTCCCCCATGGACTATCTGCTCTCTCAACCACACCAGGCTGATGAATGCACACAGGGTACATGTCACCACAAAACAACCCTGCAAACAATCTGCCAACAAATTTTCCCTATTAAAAAAAAAAAGTACATATAATTACTCAAAAGAACACTTAAAATTAGGAAAACAAAGGTAAAAAGTTTCCTTTTACACTAAAGTCTCAAATAAAAACAAAAAAGCCAGAAAAATAAATCATAATTTTTTGGATGAAAATCTCAAGTTTCTCCAAAAGAATTATTTGTGATGAAGGTGAAATTCTAATATGAGAACCTATATATACTTGTATTATATATATACTTGTATTATATATCTTAATATATATCTAAATAATACAAGTATATATACTTGTATTATATATCTTATTTATATATCTTATTTAGGCATCAAATACCATCAGAACTATATGGAAATTAGCTATCCATAGCCTATCTTTTGTACATGGCCTAGAAACAGAAAGGCACAAGCAGAAAAGACAAAAGCAGCCTAATACCCGACAAAAGCCATGCATTAAATTTATCTAATTTACCAAAGGTTAAAAACTCTGTCCAACTCTAAGAATTTCTGTATCTTTACACAAGTTTTAAAACTTGATTAGCTGACACCTGAACCCACACAAATTAACAGAATCATCAAATCAGAAAAGAGGAGCACCCCCAGAAAAACCTAATGACAACATTAAATAATGAAGGCTGAGAAATATTCAGTATGCCATGCGTGAGACAAAGAGGTCTATCATAAATTTTATAGAAGTTTGTCACACTTGGCCAGGCGTGGTGGCTCACACCTGTAATCCCAGCACTTTGGGAGGCCAAGGCAGGCAGATCGCTTGAGGTCATAAGTTTGAGACGAACCTGGCCAACATTGTGAAACTCCATCTCTACTAAAAATATAAAAATTAGCTGGGTATGGTGATATGAGCCTATAATTCCAGCCTGAGAGGCTGAGCAGCAAAACTGCTTGAACCCAGGAGGCAGAGGTTGCAGTGAGCTGAGATTGAGCCACTGCACTCCAGCCTGGGTGACAGTGTGAGACTCCATCTCAAAAAGCAGAATCACCTGAACTCAGAAGGCGGAGGTTGCAGTGAGCCGTGATTGAGCCACTGTATTCCAGCCTGGGTGACAGTGAGACTCAACTCAAAAAAATCTCAAGCTGGAAAAAAAAAAGAAGTGTTTCACTTAGAAAGCAAATGAAGTTTTGATGCTAACTGCAAATGCACCAAAGTATATTAGTTTCTCAACAAATCCAGAAAGGTGAAGTATGCTTCCTTTAGTAATCATACAAGAAAATGCACCAAGTATTGTCATACTGAGGACCATTTTGTCCTTTTCCTCTATTAAGAGGCTTAGCTTTCCTTCCCTAGTTCATGTTTATGATTTCAGAATTATTCAGATAACTCAAAAATCTCTGGAACGTTAGCCCTCAGAAAATCCAGCATTTTAATGGAATCACGTTTTCCCTCCATAGAAAACCACAGGAAGTGTCAATTTGGTAGACCTTGACCCAGCAGCTCCAAACTTTAACTAAATCGGCATGGGCCCTAGGAGAATACTGTCTTCAATATGCCCTAAATCAAGAGGAATTCAAACTACCACCTTACTAAGGAACTCTCCAGGCCATTAAATTCTTAAAGGTTGGGACCAAAATATCCCCTTTACATCTTCTTTGCCATCAGCAATAATCCTTTTTATTACAGATATTAAACATTTGGTGACAAACTCTAGAGTCCTTTTCCCTTATTCCTTCAATCTGGGCTGGTTTTGTGAGTTCTAGACAAAGGTGATGCTGTCCAAATTCCAGAGGTCAGAAGAGGGCTTGCAAGCTTCCATTCTTGCCCTTTTAGAATGCTGCCCTGAGACTACCATGTAAAGCCCCACTAGCCTTCTAGAAGATAAAAGGCCTTAGGAGGAGAACCAAGACATCTCAGACAAACCACCTTAGATCATTAAGTCCCAGTAAAACAGCTCAGTGACCTAGACAAGCCTAATAGATGAAAGGCTCAGCTGAGCCCAGCCCAAACTGCTGACCCCAGAATTATAAGCAAATAAAATGGTAGTTGTTTTAAGCCACTAAGGTTTGGGACAGTTTGTTTTGCAGCAATAGATTAAGTGATACAGTGCACCTACAGATGACCTCAATTACTGAGTTACGGAATATATAGCAACTAATAAGACATTACGGAAATTTAAAGTAAAATTTTGCAGAAAAAAATCTATAGAGAATATAAAATATTATTCAGAAAAAAAGTAAGTTTAGTTACAACTTCTATGAGAAAAACTAGCTCGATTTTTCAAACTGTAAAAAAAACCAAGCCATGTTTATAATTTCTTTCGACTATCCCCATCAGGCCTCCAGTGTTCCTCTGGAGTCAACGAGTAGCCTAATGAAAGCAATTCAAGCAACCCTCAAGCCAATCAAGTCAGAGGGAAAAAGAAGCCTGCCGATATAAGTCAAGCAACAATGCTTAATGTCAAGATACAGTAAAGTAACTACAGGCAAGTTTTAGCATTTATATTCTAATAATTATGGAAAGATTTTTAAAAATAAACCTGAGTTCAAATGTGTATATTAACAACACGTTAAAATTAACTCTTGGCCAAACACAGTGACTCACGCCTGTAATCCCAGCACTTTGAGAGGCCCAGGCGGGCAGATCACTTGAGGTTAGGAGTTTAAGACCAGCCTGGCTAACATGGTGAAACCCCATCTCTACTAAAAATATTTTAAAAAAATAGTTGAACTTGGTGCCACACGCCTGTAATCCCAGCTACTCAGAAGGCTGAGCCAGGTGAATCACTTGAACCCAGGAGGCAGAGGCTGCAGTGAGCTGAGATTGTGTCACTGCACTCCAGTCTGTGTGACAGAGCCAGACCCTGTCTTAAAATAAATAAAAATTAGCTCGTCATGGTGGTGGGTGCCTGTAATCCCAGGTACTCGGGAGGCTGAAGCAGGAGAATCACTTGAACCCAGGAGGTGTAAGTTGCAGTGAGCAGAGATCGCATCACTGTACTCTACCCTAGGTAAAAGAGAGCAAGACTGTCTTAAAAAAAAAAAAACAAAAGAACTTTCCTTTTATGAACATAAGACAGTAGTATGTATCTTAAACTGCATGACAGCCTATTTAAAAAGTCATTCCATCATTACAAAACAGTCCCATAAAAAACATATATTTTAAAAGAAATGTCATTTACATTTATCAGCTACTTCTACTGCAGCTATAACTGTTAGTATAATAGACATAAATTATTTGTCCTCAAAACACATTTACAAATTATAACAAAAATAAATATGCGAAGAAAAAAGCAAGCATCATCTATACCATGCAATGTTTGTCACACAGGTTCAATACTCACGTTGACAGCATATCTAATGGCAGTGTCAGTAGTGAGCTCACGGAGCCAGTAAACAAGCACTTGTAGATGCGGCCTACCAAAAAAAAGCATGATGGCATACAGTCACAACTTGCATCATGAACTCATAGAGCTGCTCAAGAAAGCACAGGTTAAGTGGAACGCCACAAATGCCATTGAAATAAACATTTAGTCTTTACAAGCCTGAGTCTCAAAATACGAAAATTTTAAAAACATGGTCAAGCACAAATATAGTCACAATGAAGAGTAAATGTTACACAGTCACGTTTACCATTTAGATTCTCTCTAGGTTTGCTTGCTTTTTTTTTTTTTTAACTGAATGAGCTTAGATGTTTGAAAAGAAAAATCTAAACTGAAGATCTCCAAAATTACAATATAAATCATTTTTTAATTCTAGAATTCCAAAATTCATTAAGTCTGCTCACAAAAATAAAAGGTTTCCATTTTGGAGGTACAAGTCTTTGAAATTAAGAGAATTTTTCAGTAGAGTATGTACTGCAATGCCATAAATGGAAACCTGACAATATTTTAAAAGCACAGATTCACAGGTCCTCTAAAATACAGAACATATTATCCCAAATTCTGGCCATTTAGAGAAAGACAAAGTATGAGTAAATGCACTGTTACTCCCTTACCATCTTTGTCAGAAAAGGCAGAAAGTCTTTTAGTCAGAAAGGCAGAATTCTAGACAGAATGAGATAACAGACCACAGATTTGAAAATGGGGCACAAGAATAAAAACCTGAGGCTTTCTTGCAAACCAGTATTTGTTTATTACCTTAAGCATTCCCTATAAAACCTTGTATCAGAAATTTTCAGTGACTTAAATGGCGTTTTCAAAACCAAGTCAAAATGGAAAGGTAAAAAAAGATTTCTGTAATAAAAATTATTTACATATGTGTATAAAATACACGAGTATGCTTTTAACAATGTAAAACTGACATCAAACCAAATGCTTAGATAGGTAAATGAGTTCATATGCAGTAGTCCCTAATACAGTGCTGTGCATCATTAAAAAATTAGTAAGACAGCAGAACACGCACTTAAAATGGAAAGACAGCCAGGGTACAACGGCAAGGTAAAGAGAAAAGTTCCAGAATATGTATCATGTGATGTAATTTAAATTACACGTGTGTATCTGAATATAAACAAGTTAGAACAGAAATCAAGCTTGTGATTAATAACTGTGTTAAATCTTGTAAGTCTTTACTTTTGCCTATTTGATCTACTGATTTCAGAGAGGCTCGTTAGTCTTCCACTATGGCTGTGAGTGCTTTACGTATTTCAAGGCCCAGTTTTCTAGTATATAAAATTTCTTTAATTCTATTTTCTTAATGGATTATGCCTTTTATTAATATGAAATATAATGCTTTGCCCCATTTAATGCATTTGAATGATATCTGACTGATTAACATTGCTCTGGCTTTTTGTTAGCCATTTGCTAGCAAAATTATTTTTCTATCTCTAAGTATTAACCTGTGCTGCTTTGTATATTCTCTTATAGTGCAAGTTTTATACCTACACATTTATGGAGTTCTCTTTTGTATTAGAGAACTCTAAACCCTTATGGTTACAGATATATTTATCTATTTCCCTACTTCCCTCCTCTGCTTTCCCTTCCTTTCCTTCCTGGCTTTGTTTGAAATTTCCAAATTTTATTTGCTGTTTCCCACTCCCAGTTCCCAGGATGAAAAACTGATCATCCTATTTCTATTCTTCTAGCAGTTGCCCTTGAGTTTTCTTATGTGTTTATTAAAGTACATTTTTACATAAATCTTAAGTGTACAGATGGGTGAATTCTTAAAATATGTATATCCTGGGTAACTACCACCGAAATCAAGATGTTCCATACTTCCAGCTCCCCAGAAGGCTCCCTCAAGCTCCTTCCGAGGCAACACCCCCTGCAAAAGGTAATCACTATTCAGATCTCTATTACTATAGATGAATTTAACCTGTTTTAAAATTTCACATACATTCAATCATAGAATTTTATGCCTGGCTTGTTTTTGTCAAAGAAGCAAAATTCATCTATGTTATTTCAGGTCACTATAGTCAGTTCTTTTTTCACTGCTATGTAGTATTCCATTGTATGAATAAACCACAATGTACCCATTCTACTATTAACAGGCATTTGACTGATTCTAGTTTTTAAGTACTATTCGTAAAGCTGCTGTGGTCATTCTTATATATATGTCCTTTAGTGAACAGAAAGTTCTTGTTCTGTTAGTTATATTCCCAAGAATGGAACTGCTAGATCGTAAGGTATCTGCAATATTCAGCCTCAGTAGATACTGCTGAACAGTTTTCTGAGAAGTTACAATATGTGCACTCCCCTGATCACTGTATACATGCTTCAGATGCTCTACATCCTAAGCAACATTTGGCACAGTCTACTCTTTTTATTTCTTGTCACCCTCCTTGTACATTTTTCTAATGATGCTGAGCACTTTTCCATGTGTTTATTGGCTATTGTTGTCCCTGGAATGTTGACTGGGTTCCAGACTCTCCTCAATAATAAAATAAGCAAATGCTCAAATTCCACATTCAGCATTGCAGAACCCACAGATAGGAAGGCTTAGTATATTTAGCTATCTTTCCAGAAATACCTGTTCAAACCTTCTGTCCACTGTTTAATTGGGATGTGCTTGCCTTTGTTATTGTTTTATATACTCTAGATATAAGTCCTTTGTTGGATATGTATACTACAAATATCTTCTCTCACCCCATGGCTGGGCTTGCCTTTCAAATTTTTTTTTTTATTATTGCATTTAGATTTTTGGGTACATGTGAAGAACATGCAAGACTGTTGCATAGGTACACACACGGCAGTGTGATTTTCTGTCTTCCTCCCCTTCACCTATATCTGCTGTCTTCCCCTGCTGTCTCTCCCCAACTCCCCACCCCCAACTGTCCCTCCCCTATTTCCCCCCAACAGACCCCAGTGTGTAGTGCTCCCCTCCCTGTGTCCATGTGTTCTCATTGTTCAACACTCGCCTATGAGTGAGAACATGCGGTGTTCAAATTTTTTTTTTTTGAGTGCCAGAATTCAATTGCCTTTTATTCTTAAAAGTGTCTAAGGATGAAGAGAAGTTCTTAATTTTAATTATGTTCAATTTATCAGTATTTTCTTTTATGCTTATTCACCTATATTTTATTTTACAAGTTTCTCTTTAACATTCACGCTCAGGCTTTTAATTCATCTCAAATTAATTTCTGTGTTAGGCTGAGATTGAGGTAATGATACGACTCATTTTTTTCTGTATGGCCATCTGGTTGTTGCTATACCATTTACTGAAAAGGCTATCTTTTTTCCACTGATCTTTGGTGGCACTTTTGTCGTTAATCATGTAACAATGTAGTTGTGAGTCTAGTTCTGGACTCTGGTTACTCTTGTATTTTTAATGCATAGTTACACTATATTTTTCTACCTACATCTAAAACATCTATAATCTCCCCACAAATGAGACAAGAAATTTTTAAAGCTTTAATTTCTACCTTCCCCTCACAATTTCTCCCACGTTAAGATCATCTGGAATTTTAGTTCCAGGCTGTTCCCCAAAACCTATTAATTATCGTAGACTAACAATTGAGCCTTAGCTATATGAAGGTCTTCTTTGTATCTCACATCCTTCTCTCCTTGCTCATTTAGTAAAGTATATCCTCAAACAGGTTTTTCAAAAAGGTTTAAGGTGGTAAATTTTCCAAACCTGTACATCTATTGAAACGAGTGTAGTTTCTCCTTCCATCTGAGAATAATTTGCAGGAAGGGAATTTTAGGTTCAAAAATGTCCAATTTTGAAGATTCCATTGTCTTCTGGCATTGAACATTGCTAATTTTAAGTCTGATGCCGCTCTTATTTTCTTTACTTTATAGGATAATCTGGAAGCATACAATCTCTATATCTCCATCACTAACACTTTACCCAGCTCTGGAAAACTTGAAACTGTGTTTAGGTTTGTGAAACTTTTCCTTTACCATGGCCAGCACTGTCTTTCTATCTAAAAGACACCAATTGTTTCCTCATCTTCACTAGACTAGCCTCCATTACTCAATATGTATTTCTCATACTTGTAACTACTTTGTCCCTCTGAGTTACATCCTGTGAGATTTCCTTGGTACAATTTTCTAGTTAACTCACTCTTCAACAGTACCTATATTCTGCTAGTTGGTGTATCTTCCAAGAATTTCATTTCCATATGTCATCAAGCTTATTGTATCATATTATAAGGAGACATGAAGATATTAATTACACTAATTAAAACTCTTGTTTAGCTCTGATGAATCTGTCTATATATTCTGCCACCCATATACCATCTACTTCTCTCCATGTCTATAAAAACAACAAAGAATCCAAGAGGATTGCGGGGTTGATTAGTACCAACCTCCCAAAGAGCTTCCTATATCTGAAAGATAAGCCTCCCAACTATTTAGGACCATTACATGCATGAGTACTTTTTAATTTTTATTTTATCTTGATTTTGTTGAGGCAAGTCTCACTCTGTCGCCCAGGCTGGAGTGCAGCAGCAGGATCTCGGCTCACTGCAACCTCTGCTTTCTAGGTGCAAATGATTCTTCTGTCTCAGCCTCCCAAGTAGCTGGGATTACAGAGGCATGCCACCACACCCAGCTAATTTTTGTATCTTTAGTAGAGAGGGGGTTTCACCATGTTGGTCAGGCAGGTCTCAAACTCCTGACCTCAAGTGATCCGCCCCCCTTGGCCTCCCAAAATGCTGGGATTACAGGTATGAGCAACCACACCCAGCCATGTAAGTATTTTTTTAAAGGACGGTTGCAGAATCCCAAAAGAATTCATCTTTTGCAGTCCTTGAAAGCTCCAGTATACTTCAAATCTAATTATGATTTGATTTTACTTTTTCAATTCTTTCATGAACTTTCATGGTTAGCCTCTCTGTATGCTGTGTTCTTTCCCACATTCATTCAAGAAACTGACCTGTTAAACTCATTCTTAGTTCAGTTGAACATCTTCAAAGTAAGGCTTTCCTAATACATGACATTACGGCGTCAAATAACTAAACATCATTCAAATAATAAAATGATACATATTGCTTTATAATATTAAATACTTCTGCAATGTTTAAATAACTCCAACCAGAGGCATGAATACTCACATGCTGTAAGAGGAACAACTCCCAACCATGCAAAGGCCACAAGTGTATAATGAAACCAATATCGTATTGCAGTACCAATACTTGTAACCAGTCCAGCAAATATGTCTTGAATTGGAAGCCGTGAAGGCATATCTGGAGAATAAACTATAAGCAGGAAAAAAGTACTTACAATTTCATGAATATTTGAAAACAGCTTAATTCATAAATATAAAATAGACATTAAACTTCCAATATTTACCTTGTGCTTAATTTTTTTCCTATTTAAAAAAATAAACCAAATAGTTACAATATCACATTCACCCAAGAAGTCATTCATGAGGTAAATCATATCCGAAATGTGGAAATCAACAAAATCCGAAATGAGCAGGAAAATTGTTCAGTAAATGTTCACATCCCTTGCTCATAGCCAAGAACCTCATACAAGGCCCATTTATACGTATTTTAACATTCAACCAATATAATCAACTGGATTCACAAACTATAAAACATATGTAAAGCAAGCAGGAGCAAAAGATGAAGCTGACAACATGCCATCAAAAAATAACTCCTCCAAATATAAGCATTAAATAGCACTCAAAAAGCACAACAGTCTGCAGCAGATCATTTCAAGTTGGTGCAAACATCCCACTGACATTTGTGAGCCACTTTCCCAATGTTAGCATAATGCTTAAAATTTCAAATGATAAATACGTATCTTCCCACTACTCTGCAAAATGTAGTGGGAAGCGAGAAAAAACCATTCTTTCTTCTGAATCATTCTGGACCATTCAGAAAAAGATTCTGCCACATTTTAGAAGGATTCCCTTTTAAAATGGTTCAATAAAAAACCATTGCTTATTATTAAAAAGCTCTACCACAGGTAGCTCAGAAGGAACATATAAAAAAAAACATACGGGAAACATACAGGAACGTCCAGGAAAAACAAACTCTTTGGCCTCTTTCTCCAATAAGGCCAAAACAAAAAATTAAAAGCAATGATCTAAAATTTATAAGAGCACTATCGCAAATGGTTCACCCCTATGAACACTGAGAAATAAACAATTAACAAATAGCAACTTCTTTTTTTTTTTTGGAGACAGATTCTCACTCTGTTGCCCAAGCTGGAGTGCAGTGGTGTGATCTCTGCTCACTGCAACCTCGGCCTCCCAGGTTCAAGTGATTCTCCTGCCTCAGTCTCCCATGTAGCTGGGGTAAGAGGTGCCCATCACCATGCCTGGTTAACTTCTGTATTTTTAGTAGAGACAGGGTTTCCACCACATTGGCCAGGCCGGTCTCAAACTCCTGACCTCGGTGATATGTCCACCTCAGCCTCCCAAAGTGCTAGGATTACAGGCGTGAGCCACCGTGCTCAGCCACAAATAGCAACTTTTAATAACACATGCCCACAGATCATTGACTTCAATAGGATATCTAGTATACAAGAACAAGTCATCAAAACCAGTAATAATAGAGATTTTTTGAGAAAGATAAAAGAGAATATAACTATTAAATACCCAAGTGAATATTCCTATCAATAGAACTTCATGAAGATATTCAACTATTTTGTCTTAGTCTCCTATAAACCTTGACAAGCTGTATAGCTTTTATGTACTACAGAAAATTAATGACTATAAAATAACAGAATTGGCTTTTTTTATGATGATGAATATACAGCTCCAAAAGTGAAAATGTAGTAACTTTAATCACTTATACTCATCAAATAAAAATAAAGTAAAACACTATTTTACAGCATTTATATTGAGAAGCTCAAGATGCTTTAAAACAAACAAACACACACACACACACACACACACACACACACACACACACACACACAACTAAAACATGAAAAATCCTTTGTAAGGGAAGACAATATGGTGGTCCCAGAATAAAAAAATATGCTTCAAATTTTTAATAATTTACTAGCACAATCCTCTACTTATTTAAGATGAACCATATTAAATATTAATAGCCACATGAATTATAGTTAAAATCTTAAAGGTTGCAAAATATTTTATGAAGGCTTATGATTATTGACCTTAAAAAGTTTCTCTCACAAAAATACGGTAATTTTTTAAAACTTTGTTTGGCCAGGCAATGTGGCTCATGACTGTAATCCCAACACTTTGGGAGGCTATGACAGGAGAACTGCTTGAGGCCAGGAGTTCAAGACCGACCTGGCAATACAATGAGATCCCTCTCTATTTTTAATTTATTATTTAAAAAATAAAACTTTGTCTTTATTATCCTCATCTACACAAGTTTAACTCAAAACATAGTCCAAATCTGAAGATAACTGAGTATCTGATGAAATCAAGGCATCACTGAATTTTTCTAGGTGGATAATGGTATTCTAGTTATGCTTTTTAAAAAGAACCCTTACCTTTTAGATATACATACTGAAATATGTACAGATGAAATTATAAATGTTAGAATTATTTTTAAAAGAATGGAGAAAAAAAGGCCAGGCGTGGTGGCTCACGCCTGTAATCCCAGCACTTTGGGAGGTTGAGGCAGGCGGATCACGAGGTCAAGAGATCGAGACCATCCTGGCCAACATGGTGAAACCCCGCCTCTACTAAAACATACAAAAATTAGCTGGGCATGGTGGCGTGCGCCTGTAGTCCCAGCTACTAGAGAGGCTGAGGCAGGAGAATTGCTTGAATCCAGGAGGCAGAGATTGCAGTGAGCTGAGATTGCACCACTGTACTCCAGCCTGGCACCTGGCGACAAAGCAAGACTCTGTCTCAAAAAAAAAAAAAAATGGAGAAAAAAATAAAAGAATAAAAAGGCCTCTAGAGAACAAGAGCATATGTAAAACAAGACAAGCCATGAGTTGAAACTAAGTGATGGGTACACGTGGACTTCTTAGGTTTTTGTATGTGTTCGAACTTGTCTACAATTAAAAGTAAAAAAAAATTTACATACAAAAAAACCCACCCCACAAATTAAATCTCAAACATATGTGTGTGTTGAAAGGGAGCATACAGTTCTAAAAAATATTTTCCTAAATAAAATAGCAATACTTCCTATTACTATCAAAGATAATTAAGCTGAAAATAGTTACTTTAAAATTGCTTAAGCACTTTTATTCCCTCTTCCTCTGTCAACTGATCATATTAAACAACTTTAATGCTACCCGTAATAATCAAAACAATGCAGTGAAAACGTCTTAAGAACTTACTTGGTGTAAAAGCAAATCTGTGCTTGCATAATTCACAGTATTCTTTTCGACTGTGTTTCAGCCACTGAACTAAGCTGTAATTATAAACAGATTCATAAATACAGTGTTTACAACAAAGAAGCACTACTGTTTTGTTGAAAACATTGTTTTTATTAAAAATTTATATATCATAGTTTTTATAGTTTCAAAAATTTCAAATTTAGAATATTCTTAACATTTTGTAACTGCTTTCTAAGAATAAAAACTACAACAGCTAGAGATAAAAGCAACACATTTTTCTACCATTAAAAAAGGTCAATTAATCAAAATTAATTTCTTCAAAGTGAAATGAATATGAAAGAATCTCCAAGCATCAACATCAGTTCTAATCCTGGTCTGATAATACTGGTACCTGGTAGCTAGGTCTGAATGCTGGTTCTGCCATTAACTGGCTGGCTATGAGACCCAGGACAAGTTATCTAACCTTCCTATGCTTCAGTTTCTTCATTTGCGTAATAACAATACTCCACACCTCACAGTTTTCTTATAAGGATTAAATGAGTTGAGATATATAAAACACTCAGAACAGTTCTTGGCACAAAGTACTTCATAAATGTAAGTTATTGTTATGCCAAGCCAAACTAGAAAACCGTAACACTTTCAGAGGACAAAATAAGCTCTCCATGGTAGAAATAAACATAAGGGTAATCATGTGTACCCGGAAGGCAATACACCAAAATAAGAGCCATGGTATTAAGAATTACTGGATAATTTCTTCTCCAAATGTTTGAATTTTTACCAAAAAAAGAGTTTTTTAGTTTCCTGTGCTCAGGACAATCCAATAAAAATTTAAAAAATAATTACAGAGAAACGTCATCAAAATGATCTCTGTTATCATATACAGGACAAAACTGAAGCTCAGACTTACACAATTTTCTAAAAGTATGACTTACCATTCTTGATGGATAAACTTAATACTGCCAGTACATACACAAGGATGATAAAGTGGTTTCTCAGGTGTTCCTTCCGACCGACACACTCTACATATGTCTGTCAATGAAAGAAGAAAATGGAATTTTCCTTTGGTTAAAAGTTTAAGAAAAAAAAAAAAAGATAACTATAAACCAAAATATTGCACATTAAAGCAAGAATCTATCACTTGGCAAAACATTAATAGCATGGAGAACTGAAAGTTGTGACTAAGTTGCTATTCAAGTGTATATTTAAAACTAAAAAATTTCCTAAATAATGTATTAAAAGACGAGCTGTTCCCTTTGTATGACAGCTTTTAAATAAATCAAAGTTGAAAATAACAGGAACACATGGTTTTATTTAAAACTGTACTCTCCCACAACAAATAACAGAAATAGGTAAAATCAGGTCACCATTAGCATCCTAACAGTTTTAAACTCCAGTCTTAACAATTTACCAGTTCAAAGTCCTAACAGCTTAAACTCCACAAAACACATTTGAGGACTCAACATAATAACAGCAGTTAGACTACACCCCCTTTCATGTCAACTCACCCCACAAGAGTGTGAGGTAGACAGAAACACACACACACGCTCTCTCTCAATCACTCTCTTTTAAAGAGTTGGTGGGGGAGGGAATGCTCCAAAACCAAAAAGGCACCAGACCAGAGATATGAGCCAGGGGCCACCTTAAGCAAAAGAGATAGGAGTCTAGTGCTGAGGGGTCCGAGGACTGCAGCCCATCCCTCTCACCCAGCACTGCACAGCTCTAGGGGCACATTTGTCTGTCCTCCTGCCCGGAGTGGCCCCAAAGCAGCACAACAGCAGAAGAACTGCAATTGATCCTTCGCACACTCACTCTAAAGCTCCTATGTGGATCCACTTAGGGAACCCTAGTTATAACGTTTATTTTAGACCATTCTCAGCTATCCATCAGGGCCAAGCGCCAATCCCTAGCGGCCAATGGGAGGGACAATGGGCAGAAGCTTAATGCACGCTTTTGGCCTGCTCTCTTACAGGCAATTCTTCCTTAATGGGGAATTACTACAATCCCAATCCCCATCCCTCATGAACTTAATGGGTCTCTGGCATCCATCAGATTCCAGTGAGCACATGCTGAGAGCAGTGTGGTGCATGGTTCCAGGCATTTAAGAGCAACACAGGCCTGTGGCTACTCTTTGCACGTGGGGGTGCATGCCTTTTCTACACTGGTGGAGAGATCTGTCTGGTTATTTAACAACCAAGGAGACTACTGGTGTGCTAACCAGTTGGGTGATCCTGAGCCTAACTGCTCAATCTCAGATGGCTGAATGCCACTTGTCTAAATTGGGGGATGCCCAACACTCACCTAACTGGTTAGCATGCTAGTCTCCCTGGTTATCAATTAACTACCAGCAGAATCTCTTCATCAAGTAGAAAAGCCATGCACCTCCACCCCGAGAACAACTATCGATGGGTCAATCCAGTCTGTGCCGGAAGCAGGTAAGGTTGTTCATGTTGAGTCAAATTAAGTTCTCTACTGCTGCCGCCTTTCGGTTCCAGCTTTGAACACAGACCTTTCCCCTACCACACCCAAAGGGTTCTGGTTTCCTGGAAGCTGCCAGTGGGTCACGGGCATTAATGCAGTAGTCAACATCACCACATTTATGTTTGTAACTACACAGGGCCTGAAAGCTCTTTAAACTTCCCACTTTCACCTTCATCCTTGGTTAATGAAAACATCCTTGGCAAAAGCTTTCACTCTGATCAGACTTATTAACAGCCCAACACTTGAGTCCTACAACTGCCCTGTTTAATCAGCTTCCGCAAAGTTCTGACACAAAATAAAACCACACTCCTATTCCATGATTCCCACCAGCAGTATCTAGGCAGCCCATGCTACATTGAACACTAATTTTCTTTAAGTGCACACTTTATCTCCCGGGAAACTCAGGGAAGAGCCCATAAGGTACCAAAAGGCAAGGAGCATGGACTTTCTTGCAATAGACCCCAGCAGCACCCAACATCCTAAGATCCAAAAACAAGCTTTTTTTTTTTTTTTTTTTTTCCAGTGGAGTTTCACTCCTGTTGCCCAGGCCGGGGTGCAGCGGCGTCATCTCAGCTCACCACAACCTCCAACTCCTGGGTTCAAGCCATTCTCCTGCCACAGCCTCCCAAGAAGCTAGGATTACAGGCATGCGCCACCACGCACAGCTAATTTTGTATTTTTAGTATAGATGGGGTTTCTCCATGTTGGTCAGGCTGGTCGTGAACTCTCGACCTCAAGTGATCTGACCACCTCAGCCTCCCAAAGTACTGGAATTACCTGCATGAACCACCGGGCCCAGCCAGAACAAGCATTTTAACTGCCACAAAGTCATCACACCACATTGAAAATGAGATTACTACAGCTACCAGCACCAGACTTGCCCTGCCATAGATCCTCCTTAAAGGACTTAAAGTAGACTCTTTCCAACTACAGGCCTTGAAAGAGTCCTATATTGTTTTCATCATTGTCCTCCAGGATTAGGAGTGGGTGATTTGTGCACCAGCTACCTTCCTTATATAGGGTATTAATTTATCAGGCTCTCTCTGCAGAACCAAATTGAGTTTCCCTATTACTAAGATTCTTGGTCATGGTGGTCACCTCAGTATGCACTACAACTGCCACCTAAGAGTGACAGGGCCATGGCGGGGTGGGGGGCGGGAATGTGACTGATCTAGGTTACTAAAAATCACCAGAGTCACTAAAGCCGCAGGTGTGGATCAGCTCTACAATGACCAGTTATTTATGTAGGAGCTGAACCCAGCCCAGATCCAGCCATTCACAACACTGCTGAGGAGTTAGACGCCTGTGGATTAACTTTTGAGACTGGCATCTGATACTACTGTATGATCTACCAGGGAGAGTGGGTGCAAGTGTGGATGTACAGGTGCCAGGCGTAGGGCTGGGCTCCCTAGCCCACACTCAGATGGCTGTATAAGTAGGAAGTAAGGTATAGCAGCCACAGCATGGCAAAGGGTGTCCCACCCATGGGATGCTGCCCTCCAGAAATATCATGACTGATCGGCCATTGAATATGGCCTGGGATATGGCAAAGATCGTCCTATTGGTACACTGCTGCCTGTGAGATGCAAGGACAACAGGTGGCATGATATCCATGTGGGTACAGCAATTGGTCATTTGGTGGGCTCATTCCATGATACAGGCCACTGTCACCTAGGCAACCTAGTCCTGCACAGCCTGAGAAAGCTGCGGTTGGAAACAAAGCAGTGGCAAATTCCAGGGCACACTCACCCACAGGAGGCACTGCTTACTCCAAGAGGATGGCCAGCTAGTGAACGGTGGAACAGGACAGGTGGAGCGGGGAGAGAGACATGGATCTCCACTTAGGAGAATGTAAACACACACATGAATTAGAACACTGATTTTTCAGAAGACCCCTGACCTTCTGAATGACAAACCAACAAACAAGATACTAAGCAAACCCAACAACTCTAAAATTAAGCCCCAGGGGGCTCTGTTTGGCCTAGAGGAGAGAACTGGGATCCGAAGTTTCTCACTCAGAGAATGCAAGGACACAACTACTATCCTAGTAACACTACTTTTTTTTTTTTTCTTAAGAGACAGGGTCTTGCTGTGTCACCCAGACTGGAATTCAGTGACACCACCATAAATCACCATAACCTCCAACTCCTGGTCTCAAGTGATCCTCCGATTTCAACTCCCAAAGCGCTGGGATTACAGGTGTGAGCCACCATGCCCAACCCCTAAGACTTCTTTTTCACTTATTGTCTTGCCAGTTTGCAGTGGTTTTTCTAGAGGCTACATAAGACAATAGAATGAATGCAGCTAGAGATGAAAAGACCCAGCTGCTTCTCATTAAAGTAGATATTAAAGAGATCTGCAAATATAAAACAAATCCACTCTTTCCTCATCAATTCTGGGGGGAATATTATTTTCATGAAAAACAGTATTTATATTAATACATAATACATGTTGTTATTTTAAAGCAAATTAATAAATACTTCCAAAATTCTTCTTAAAGGAGTTCGTCAAGAGGAAGAACAAGTGCATTAAACCATTTGTTACTTTAAGTGGTTTTGATTACATGAAAACAATGACAGCCCAGGTCTCAAGCGGGGGAAAAAAAAATCCTAAAGGGAATTCTAACATATCATTATTTCCAAACAGTATGAACAACTCTTTAAAATCTCTCTTGTATCTATTTTCACATACAGTCTATTGTATAATGAAGTATAAAAAATTCTAATGAATGAATTAATGATCACTACTGCTATACACTTTTAAGTCAAAACATATTTTATAAAACTACCGAAATGATCACATTTCATAAAGCATTATACCCACTAACAATAGTGCACAGACATGATAAAAGAATAAAGATCTTTAAGATGCTATGGGTTTTCTCCCCCTCAGTTGGATCTTAAGAGAAAAAGGAAGAAAAAGAAAAATTTCTGCTCCATTATACAGCAGAAAACATCAAAATCCAAAACAGTGTCTTTGTGTTCTCAAAATTAATTTTAAGTAATTAACTGGCATTTCATCTTGCATGTCCATATGTCTCTTTTTTTGTTTTTTTTTTTTTTGGCCTACACACATTGGCAACAATAAAAATTACCATTTTGAAATCTTTGTGGGGGGTGGGCATTATGGGAGCACACCACCACATTCGGCTTTTTTAAGAGATGGAGTCCCACTATGTTGCCCAACCTGGTCTCAAACTCCTCGCCTTAGGCAATCATCCTGTCTCAACCTCCTGAATAGCTGGGATTATAGATGCCAGCCTGCAGCTACTTGCACATCTTCTAATTTCTACTTGGCATTATGTTCTAGAAACTTTAAAGAAGGCATTTTAAAAGACTAGTCACTGCCTAAAAGAAAAAAGAAGTATAAAAAACTACAACATCCATTTATTACTTTGACATTATTTAAGAACTACCCTTTATTTAATTACCTACTGATATGGTTTGGCTGTGTCCCCAACCAAAAATCATCTTGAATTCCCACGTGTTGTGGAAGGGACCCAGACAGAGGTAACTCAATCATGTGGGCAAGTCTTTAGTGCTTTTCTCGTG